TTATGTTTGATGCCAAGAGTACTTTTCAGAACTGAATATATTGTCCACAGTGTGGAGGCTTTCATAATTTCCGACTTAATTTGGAAATAAACCAAGAGCGTCGTTACAGAAAATTCGCGTATTTTATTTTCTTCGCACCACTTTGAAATTCAAAATCTAGCCCGGACAAATTGACAGATTGGTATTTGACGTATTTGGTAATAATTTCAATACCAACATAATTTCGGTTCAGTAATATTTATTCTTTTAGCGATTGAAAAATGTTATTTTTTCAAAAAGGCAACGCAAAAAATATTGTATGATACTCGTGTGAAAACTCCATTGCATTACTCACTTACATACAGCGCTCGACTGCGTCTCGCGCCGTATTCCCGTTCGTAATGCAATGGACCGTTTTCAACACTTGTAACATAAATAACTATTTCCTAACTTGTATTGCAAGATCACTTTAAAAGTAAACTAATAAAATTTTATGACATAATTAGGATTATTCGGTTGGCAATGCCGAATCGGCTTTTCGCATTAGGGTCTTTGTAAAGTTGTAAGCCATGTCGCGTGCCTACAGATTTCCTGTGTTGCCCCAACCAGACGGTCTTTGGCGGTCGTACCTGTATAATTCATGGCTTTAGAGTTTTGCGGGTTCTTTGATTAAAATATTACTAGTCTGTATTTAAAGTGATCTTAGTATAATAATGATCGATACTCGTAATATACTCTGTAGCATGACCATTGGATAAATGGATACCATTGAAATTTTAAAAATATATAGTTAAATAGTGAAGTTTGAACATCAATTGTTGAAAATTTTGAATTGAGCAGTCTTGAAATTTATTTTTATGTAAAATCGTGTGATACAAGTGCAATGGTACTCAGTATTTAAATTTCAAAATATTAATGTGAGATTTTCAAATTGTTGGAGAAATCAGATCAGACCAAGAATTGTTTTTGTTACTATTGTTCTTCTACTAAAAGCAGCTCAGTGTAATAAAATTTGAAAGCGAAAAAATTTACATTAAAACCCAAAAACGATCAAGGCCAAGTCCTTTGTACGGAATTTCAACAATTAGTGATTGGTTAATTTAAATAGGTTCTAGTGTGAATCGGGAATGAATATATTAGAACTGTGGCGGCACAATAATACATTGGTTAGCGGAGAAAGATAAGCGTCCTCGTGGTCTAGTGTCAGGATACCTGCCGCTTACTTACAAAACTAAATAATATGTCCATGAAAATAAAAATATTGTACATAGTCGATGCTTAAAGAGTCAGTTTTACACATTCGAAATCTTTTCTTGTGTTATTTAAAGACGCTTTTATCAATTTGAAAATTATTAATTTTAGATTCGGTAGCCCTAGATCTTTTGGATAACTTTTCATATGACAATTTTCAGTTTTTCAAAATCTAATGCAATAAATCATCTAATCGACTTAAGAACTAAAATCTTTAGCAGTGATGAATGTTCAGGTGTAATTTTCTTTGACCTAAAAAAGACAAAAATACTAATCAATCCTCTACTCAACTTACCGAAGCCAACGTGCTCCAGGCTCCTACTTTGGGCCCACTAATGTACTACATTAATGATTTTAAAGCTGAGGAATCCGGTACTAATTGGCCTTATAACATTTGCAGATGATAGGTACATTGTTAACTCCCCATAAAAATGAATTAATTATTATATAGAAATCCTTTTAAAAAATGCAGAATGACGTTAGGTATATTTTGGTTTAATAGTAACAAATTAAGTTAAATAATAATAAAACTACACCAATTATGTTTATTAAGAGAAAAATTAACAACTTTTCAAAACCCAAGAAGACTATATACTATATTTCTAGGTCTATTCCTGGATCCCTTATAAGAAGTTCCCTTGAAACTTCTATCGTCTTCGCTGCATGGTAAATAAACTACCAACATCAACGCTTTTTCACCTTACTTTGCATTATTTGAAATCCACATACGGTATAGTTTGTTAGTGTGGCGTCTGGGGTGACACGCTGGTAACTTGTTTGGACTTCAATGTAAACCTCCACGCTTAAAACATGGCCTGAGTTATAAAGCTGTTTTGTCAAAAATACTTTGTATAATTAACAATGTGCCGTCCCGATTTAAAAAATTATAATATTCCTATAATTCCAATAATAATGTACGCAATCATTCATGCTTCAGCGCATCTAAGATATTAGAGGAATGTCACCTTTAGGGTGGTAGAGGAGAGGTTGGAATGGTAGTGTGAATTGGGGAGTCACTTGACCCACTTCTCGTTTTATCCGTTTTATGGTATCAGGGAAAACATGTGTTAAACATAGGATCCGTTTAAATTTTCTTTGTACTTTGTCCAGAGGACAATTATTTAAACAAAAATAAATCGCATTTGACGCTACGCCTCCCATAGACCAGTATAATTAGCATAGGAGCAGTTTATTAATCTTTTTGTAATTTGAAAAGTTGTGAAATTTTGACAAGCCCATCAACACATGTATTTGTTTTACTGTTAGTAAATTCACAGCTCCCCCTAGGATTTTTAATTGTTTATGGTTCAAATATCTTTTTACGGAATTTGGTACTGAAACTGTTCGTTTATGTCATCTGTTGATGTTGCCGTTGACGTTGCACTAATATTAAGCCATTTAATCACCTGTTCACCGAAACCCTTATATTTTAAAAAGCTACTATCATTTTCTACACTGTAACTCTCTGTCAGTACTTACGCATTGTTGAAGATAGTTCTTGACGTATAAGTCAACAAAATCTATTGCTATTTGTCTCAAAAACAGATTAGGTACTACAACTACAAGGGCTTACATTTTGCCCTCTTTTCTTAATATGTGTGCTGTGTCATCTTTTTTTCACAACATGTTTAAAATGGTAAATTTTTGTAAGAAAGTATCAATTTTGCAATTAGGCTCCACCCCTCGGTCTGACAAGGAATAAAAAAAGTCATCACAATTGAGCTTGGGATGGATATGGGTAGGTCTTAATTTTTGGTTCGCTCTTTTCTTAATATACATCCATAGCATTCTTTAGACAACACGATACTTTAAAACATGTTTTTTATGTCTTGTAGAGAAATTTTGCAATTAAACTCCGCCCCCTTTGATTACAACGAATAAAAAAATCATCACAATTGAGATGGGGCGGGTGGGCGGGGCTTATATTTTGCCATTTTTTTTTTCTTAATATACATAGCCATCTTTTGACAACAAGAAATTTAAAACATGGTTAAAATGGTACATTTTTGCAAGGATATATGGATTTTGCAATTATGGGGCGTAGCCTAATTGCAAAATCGATATTTTCTTATACAAATTTTCCATTTTAAACATGTTTTTATTTCATGTCGTGAAAAGAAGTCTATAGGTATACACATATTAAAACAAAAAAGGAAAATGTACGGAGTCGATAATTACTGGCAACGGAATTTATAACTGACAATTTTTAGCTCTAAAAGGAATTCAGTGGGAACAGTAACTGCAAGGGGAACTTCAACACCAAAAGCTAATTTATAAATCCCACTTTAATGTAAAACACATGGCGGAAATTCACTTTTAGGCTTAACTTGTTTTTCTAACGATATCTAAAGTTCTGAATGGGTTTCCCTAAGTTATTATTCACACTTCATAACTTCTCACTCGAGAGTTCAAAACATGTAGTTCAATAGTGACATTTAAACTAATCTTAAACATATTTTGGAGAGACAGAACTCGGAAAAGTATAATTAGTTTAATTAATGTCATCGTGGATTCAAAGAGGTATTTGAAGTTTATTTTGTGTTGTTATTGCTCTAAGCTTGAACACAGTATAGAAATCAATCAGTAGAGACAACTCGTGTCGGCGCCTTTGATCTTTCTGACTCGAATTTTAAGCCGTGATCGGTGGTCGTTGCCTAAACTATTTCTAGATGTCGCCACCCAATTTAAAAATTATCACAATCGCAAATGAATTAAAAATAGTGTAAAAACAATAACATTTTGTAGTTGATCTTAGAAACCACACAGTCTGTTATAAAAATACTAAATTAAGTGCCCTACAATAGCGATGACGTGCTGAAATTAAGATTTGACCCCGCTTCTCTGATAACGATTTTGTGTTTTATTAATTTATTTTCCATGTCTTGATGGCTGCAAAATTCAACGTTATTAGAAAACGCTAACATACATTTTATTTTATTTTTTACAAAAGACTAAATAGTACACAATCGTCCCGTCAAAACATGAAGAATATTTTTTAGAACGTCTCTGTCAAAATTACATTTAACTGAAATAATTCCACCGAAAGATCAGTCTTAAACCATCAAAACCAATGCAACTGAACTGACAAATTTCAAATATCTCCCATTAAAGTCACTAGATACCCAAAGTACTTCAGTTCGATGTTTTAATGCGTAAGAAAGAGAAGTACCTTGCGTTGCGCGCCCTCATACGGTCACAAGACAAACGACCACCCATGAAAACGGGTCAGTAAAAATAGCGAGTTGTCCCTACTGATTGATTTCTATACTCTGGCTTGAATTTGAACGTTTATTCTCAAAGCACATCTCTTCTCCAGGCGAAGCGTTTTTAACGTGTTTGTTACGAGTAATTCATATCTTATTTGTCTTATGTAATGCTGGGATTCGGTCCTCGATATGATCTTCATAAACTTTATTTTGTTTTAATCAGTAACTTGGATTTAAATCATGTGAATTCGTCATTGTTTAAAATTTTTGATAATTGTACGCTATAACTAAATATTAACTGCTTTCTTTCTTGTTCATTTAGTCATCGTTCTAAATTCAGGAACTCCAGACGGGAATAAAAATAGGTACGGTGGAGTGAAGGGTTACAATGTGTAGTTTTTCTCTCATTGTCATTGTTCAGCTCAATGTTTGTCTGCAATATCGGATTCCACCGGCGTGAATCAGGTTGCTTAGCTGGCGGTCTCCTTTGCAAATGTGGCGTGCGAAAAAATGCGAAGCCATTATTTGAAAAACTAAAAGTTTATTAAAAAATTGTACATTTTTTCTTATTGTATGTTTTTGTTATAAAATCAGTCTTTATACAAAATTAAGTTTTGTTGACTTTCATGTCAGCAAATTTTTGTCCCAAAACTTTCATGACATCACCATGCTTTAAGTCTGGCGTTTTACAGTTTGCATAATTTTCTTTGACAAACAACGCAAATCCTTTTGGTTTTCTTGGCGTCACAGGAACAGATTTGGTTTCGCCTTGTTTATTAGTTTTATTAATCAAAACCTCGAATTTTCCAAAGCAGTATCCACACCGCTTTCGGTCAATGTCCAATGACTTTGTATGCCTTCCAATACTAAAAAAAAAAGGAAAAACAATCACATCACCTTAAATATGGAGTCAAACCTGTATCCACACGCTACACATCTGTAAGTGTACTTGGTATTAATTACATAATTATGGCACCTTCGAATCGGCGGAAGTTCTGGAAACGTTTTCATTGCACGACAAGCCCTAACGTAAAAATGAATAAATATTTTTAATTGTGTTTATTTATAGCTCATACCATGACTTCCAAAAAGGTCCATGACCATCAGAAATTTCATTAACTATCCAAGTCGCGGCATGACACATTTCATGTATCAACGTGTCCCTTAGTCGGTCTGCTGAATCTAGTACTTTTTTGGCTAAAATAATTTTCGCTGTTCGCTCGACAACTCCCGTTCGTCTGGTGGTTTTTTTACATGAACACATTCCAGCAGTACCTCTCATTCGATCATTCCACTCAATGGGTGTTTCTTTGGGTATTAAATTCTCAAAAACGTTTTCATTAAATAAGTGAAATAGCTTTGCAGCTAGTGTTTCTTTATGTTGGTGAAAATTATTTCGGAAGATTAGGGCTGACAAATTACACTTTTCAACAGGCACGCTTCCTGTAATGTTTATACATTAATGAAGTTAAAAAAATTACAGAAAAAAATACCTGACAGTGAAGCCAAAAAACTGTATGTTGTATTTTTTGTAATTTTATTTTTTGAAGGTGGGTCTGCTTTTTTTTCAATAGTAACTTTTTTCCGTGCTTTCTTTTTAAAAATGTTTGAACTGGGAGGTATTAGATTCTCTCTATTCTCTGTATTAGTATCATCTTCATTAAAATTAAGTCTCATACGAGGCAGTACGTAATTATTGCTGTCACTTTTCTCTGACTCTGTATCACTATCACACAATTTTTTTACAGATGTAATCAAAGGTGATTCTAGAGTCTTTTTAAATCTAGCTTTTTGTAGAGCTTTCAACAAATTTGAGCCATTGTCTTCATGAGCATTAACAGGTATTTTATTTGTGTGTCTAAAACAGATTTATTATTATTAATATAGGAAAGTTGTCTTGTAAACCTTTCAGTATTGGGAACTTTGATTGACACATAATCAATTTTTTTCTTTGCTCTTGGTTCAGATGATGGTAAAATGTCTTCTTTTTTCTCTCTCCAACTATTACCATATAAACTGTCTAATAAGTTTTCATAGTCATCACATAGTTCTGAAACAAGAATACAGATATTCAAAACAAGATATATTAAAAACAAACATACCAGGATTTTGCTTATCATTATCACGTTTACCAAGATTGTCATTGTTTTCTTTTTGGAGTCTTGTGCTTAAACTTTCATTAATTTCTAAATGAAATGAGTCATCAATAGTGTTTTTAGAGTCGTTTGGACCGTTCTCACTTAATAAACTATCATTTAATACTAAATTATTACTTTTATATGAGAGATCATTTAAGTCTTTTTCACTCTTATAACTACTCTGTTGTGATATATTTAAATCCACCCCCATGGCAGTTTCTTTTGTTTCAAATAATTGATCAAACCTCTTTGTTTCTGGGTCAAGTAGTGTTGAACTGACTGCAACATTTATTTCTGGAGGTTTGAAGCCAGAACTTTCATCTCCAGCAATGGCAGACAGTTCAGTAAATGCGGACAAATCCTTTTTAGAACTATTAACTTTATCCAGCCAGTGTTGTATATTTTTATATTTCTCACTGGATAGCCCTGTTTCACTTTTTTTTCGCACTGGAGATGTGTGTTCCTTGTCTAGTAACCCAACTGCAAGTTTCACAGGTGTTGTCTTATTAGAAAAAGAGTTTTCACTGTCAGAAATTACTATAGGACTGTAATTTACAATACGAGTATCAGATGTGGAACTTGCACTACTCGATTTTATGCTTATAATCGATTCGTTTTTCGTAGAAGCAAACGCGTTATTCAACGCAAGTGACTTTCTTAAATATTTCTTTAGTGCTAAGATCGTCGGGGCTGAAAAAAGCGTTTTATTTTTTTGTTCAATGATTTTGTTGGTGTTACCTTTTTTTACGGGTTTATGGTTTTTATTAACCTTTGGAGACATGGAACTTACTAATTCGAACGACGTATTCATTTTTAAAAGGAAGTCGTATAAAATAAAACTATAAAACAGTGTATAAGACGGCACAAATATTCAAACAATTCGAACCATATTCGAACCTAAGATTCGAATCTGACAGCAGTGACAGTTATTTTTGACAGATTTCACGATTTGACAGTAAATACCATGCACACTTTAAAACTGTGTACGAGGGATAACCAAAAAGTATTCATCAAAGCAAAAGTCGCAAACAAAACTAAGCGATACAGAAACATTATTTGTTTTAGAGTGCCAGGTTTACATTAAAAAACGTGATCAAGTATAAAATTTATTAAAGAATTTAAATGTTCAACATAAGCTAATTCAAAAACAATTTTTACGGGTGACTTCTAGCCAGTAATAGCCTTTATAGATTGTCATAATAGTCATAGATAAAATTTTTACAATAATGGTGATAAGATACACTAAGCAGTTTGTGGCTGAATACCAAATATTTGGAAGAGTAAAATATTCATGTGGCCAAATCAAGGCAAATAATTACTCAAACAAAGAATACTACAATTTTAGTTAAAATAATACAAAATAATACAGAGCTGTATTGGCCACAGTAACACCTACTCATCTATAAAAACTTGAATACGAGATTCCTATATACAATAAAAAGTACAAATAAACAAAAACTTTAATAGAACATGATGAAAATATTATTTCAAATGTACGTATTAGTATAATTTAGGCACTTCAGAAGGCAACAATTTTTGATTAGAAGAAATAACGTTTATTCAATTTGGACGTTTTTGTAAAATTTATCACAGAAAAGCGTCATTAATGGTAAATAGATATAACAGATCTTGATAACTTTCCTCAGTTCTATTACCATATTGCATCTAAATATATCTCTCAATAATGCGACGTCATTAACCTATTAAAAAGTCCAAAAATTTTGCATCAAAGATGGAAAGCAAAAATTTCACCACGCGAATGGAATGATACAATACTAAAATTTGTCACATGTGTATTGTAGCTGCCGTGTATCTTGCTTCTCCTCTTCGCCATCGCCACTGACTTGGTCGATACTACAAAACGACAATGAAAAATTATTACGAGTCGACACACAACAAAAATCAACATACCCTAATTAATATTTGACCGCTGGTAGTGTGCGGATTCCTGTAAGCATAGAGAACCCAAAGTGCTAACCCAGCCACCATCGCTATTAAAAATAATATTGCCACGATACTAGAAACTCCCATTTTCACAGGCTGATTCGCCGCTAACACCCTTGGGTTATCAAAAGCTCCACCAGACGCCAACTTCTGCTGGAACTCGTTGGCATCATGTACGTAAGTGATGTTGCTTTTATCAAAAATGTCTGAGCCGGTTATGTGTGAGCATATTGTTTCATTGAGCTGTTTGCTTTGGCAGTGATTGGTCAACCAGTCTTGACGGTTTCTGTCGACCCCATTGGAACATCGCTTTATGATTGGACACCAGTAGCACTAAAAATTATTTTCAGTTTAATTCAACGCGAGGTGGCGGCATCACCCGAAAACCGTCTAAGAACGTACCTGAAATGAGGGTATGGCTGTTTTGATGCACGACATGCAGTCTTCATGTTGTAAACACGTGGGTAAAGCTGTAAGGTAGATGACAGTCCAGTTTCTTATATCTTCTTTACCAAAGTTGATACGATGATATTCATATATTGTCTTCCTGCGAACCACTGTAACGTACCGTGTTCATGATTACAACAATTTCGATTGTGCGTTTAACTTACAAAATATTGTGCGGTCGATAATGTAGGCGTCTGAAAGTCCTACTTTAACCGGGTGGTGATCATCAGTTATGTTTTTAATGAATAAAGGAACATTCTTGTAAACGAACACTATATCACCGTTTTTGTGCAACGTTGTCTGGAAGGTGAATTCGCCTTCGTTGGATTTATCTTGTAATGATACTTTTTCCCACTCCACTGTGAACGCCGTTCCGTTGTCCAGATATCTTATGTAACTATCGTTTGATATGCTTGTATCAAAATTCGCCATTAAAGGGGCGATGTACTGAGTGGCAGCAAGCCAAGAATGAACGTAATCTCCTGTATACAGAAACCCTCCAGTGGCAATTGTTACGTTCTTAATCAAATGTCCGTAAAATGGAAATTCGAAATTTAATTGGACCGTCTAACGAAAGAATACATTAATAAAAGAAAATTTATTATTTGGTCATCTTACAGCTGCTCGACGATGTGATCTTGACAAAAGTTCGTTGATTTTTACGTCTGTATTGTTCTTTAAGTCAACCCAATAAAACTGTCCTGCTTCAGGATCATTTCGTATGGTGCTGTTGTAGTATAAGTGGTTGTCCTAGAATGGTAAAAATATAATAATTTTTATTAAGAATAGATATCTACCTGAGTTGAATTTGTTATGTGATGTTCAGTTAGAGTTTTGTTGAAAGCCTCACTGTCTTCGTCCGGTGGGAACCTATCAATTGACAGTTGTTGGTCGTCGGTTGTTTCTTCAGTTATAGTGATATTTTGTAAATCGGGGATTGTCGTGGATGTTTGATTAGATAGTAATATAGGCTTTATAGTTGTGATGTTTTTTCGAATGCCCGTTCCGTTTTCACCTAAGTTCTTGCGGACAACTTCCAAAGAGATTTTCGTTGTGTTTCCATTCAACATTGGTTTAGTTGTTTTCTCCAATTTCTGTAATCGGAAAAAATCAGTATTTTATATTACATTAGCAGCTACTTTTTTGTTTAATTTAATTACGACTTTACAAACTAAATTAAATTTTAATTTTTTGTGAACTAAATACATATTTTGTAATTCTAAGACTTTTGTAAATACAGTATTTTTATTCTTTACACATGTTATATCAACAATTAACATAAATTATAATTTTTGAAAAATAATTTCTGAAAAGTATTTTTCAGGCGTCTAAAGAAAGTGTTTTATTTTTAAAAACTTTTAAGCAATCGTTAACGGCGTAATTAACAATTTACATATCTTTTGTACGATTGTTTGTTAAAGAGGCAATCTTGTGATAGATAGTAGATCCATTTCATAAAGTTTCACTGATTGTAACCGTGATAATTAATTACACACATTTTACAATTCCGATATTCCTTTAATTAAAACAAACACAAAAAATGTTAACAGTTTACACAAGTCTTTAACATTATTAAAGGAGGTCAATTCTAATGGAAAGCCAACATTTTATACTACGCATTTAAAAATCATAAACAACACTTTATGAAAGTAAACGAACTCTAAGTACAAAAATGCCACTTCAATCTATTCAATGCAATAATTATTTTACTGTTATGATAGTCAAAGTTATTACATCCTCCCCTCTTCCTATGTTTATTACCTTGTAGTTTATTACCCTTGCTTTGATCAAGATATCAATATCCTCCGCGATACAAACAGAAGGTCCTATAAATATTGGCTATCAGTAGCTACTTGTACATTCAGTTGTTAAAATATGCAAAAGATAAGTTTGGAGATCGACAAAACCTGTAGTGTTAATTCCTGTCATGTAAGATAAAAATAAATAGACAGAAAATATTTTAATCTTCTAAATGGTACGCGTTTTTTGCTTAAATAACTAAAATTTATTACGTCTAGTCATCTGTGTTTGCAGAAAATCTATTGACCTTGCCCTCTGCAAACTTAAAATAAATTGTTTCCACAGAACTACAGCTGTAAATAATAAAAAAATTCTAACCCTAAATTATCGTGTCAGATGTCGCACTGTGAATATTTGCTGTTCTATAAATAAACGTCTAATAACAAGTTGTAAATTCAAATCTTTCGTTAAGTAGTATTCACAAAAGTTTCGACGAAATAAACGAATCGGTCATCAAAACATTGTTTTTTCTTGGTGTTAAAAAATACTTCCCCTACTATAACTACGGGAAGCTCTTTAATAGAATTGTTTACGAATGCCTAATTTCATGCTTATTGATGTTTCCTGGCACTAACTCTTGCCGTTTTTTATATTTTGAAATTTTAACGCCAGCCAAAATTTGTGTAGCCACTGCAAAAAACTACTGACGTCACCTGTATTTTACCTTTGTTTGCACGGTGTATCCTAAAACATAAAAGAAGAGCAACAAGAAGCACCATTACATTATGTTAGATACAGCGTTACGCAAAGATAGAAATTTGGTGATAAATCAGTCATTGCGGTTTTATTAGTTACACTGATATGAAAAGTTAGTGAGGTGATGTTGAAAGGAAAATATACAAGATTTCTGGTTGTTTAAGAAATAGTGTTGAACAGTTTACATGAAAGGGAAAATAAACAATTATGTCAGCCACTGGTTTTGCAGAGGTATTGCTTAAAACTTAAGGAACAGAAAAAATGACAAGTGGAGAGTAAATATACCGTCATCGAGTATTTTTTAAATACAATCCAAACCCGTGACAACATTCTATGCAATTGCGTGTTGAATGTTACATATTTTTCAAAGGACCAGAATCATGATTCATCCTACAGGATGAACCTACGAGTTACGACATGGATGTTTAGAATTGGTGTGTGAAATGTTATTATGACAAAGCTTATTAACTGTTTAAAATTAACTTCGGTTATTTGTTAGTGTGTGAGCCGTCAAGCGTAGCGGTTCAAACTACCACATAAGTCAATATTTGTAGGCCCACCCACTATGTTACCATACATATAGCACAATATTTTAGATCTGATTACCCTAAAACACCGAAAATACAAAATTACAAAAATTGTCGACGCGTTTCGCCAACCAAACGGAACTAAGATTGATTGATTTTTTCAGATGGCGTTTGCTAATTTTTAATGCAGTCTGAAAGTATCAAAATTTAACATTTAATATCTAATAAAGGTGCTGAAATTAGACCAATACCAGAATTGTGGAAGGTTAACAATTATAATGGTTTCAGTTTGTAAATACCAACTTACAAAATCGTAGACGGTAATTAAGTCTGCGAACTTGAAAATGTGGTATTTTTTATTAAAGTTATAGTTTTACCCTTGACTACATTTCGTAAATTATAAAGAGGTTATTGATACTATGGTGTTTACAGAGCAAGTCTGTTCGTAAAACAATAGAATAATAAAATAATAAAAAGAATAAACATGAAACCAATGTTAGTGTATTGCCAAAACTTTAAAACAATCTAAGACAGATAGTAAACTTTCATTCTATAAATTTTATTTCTTTTTCAACGATTTTAAATTATGTCAAAATTTCATCGTAACTGGTTCACTAGTGTCGGAAATGATCTGTCTCAAAAAATCGTCAACAGTCAACACAGAGACGAAGGACGATAGGCAGACGGAAATGTCCAAACGATCCTATTACAATGCTTCCCGAGCGTAAGCTAGTGCGGTAAAATGATTTTTGCTGCAGACAAAAATGCCGCAGGACAAATTATACACAGATATGTGCTTACGAATTAATTAAAGTTCGACTACCAGAAAAACTTGTAGCTCGTACGTATATATACATAAATAAAGGAGAGATCAGCTGATCAGATCACAACTCAGCAAAAAGTAACTAATCGTCAACTGAATGGCGCCATTGTGCATTTATTAATTCTTGCCAATAGGTATTCTATTAATGGCATTATGTTATTTTTCCATAGTCAGCGTTACACAATCGTTGTTTTCATTACCATAAATATTTTATTTACAATCGAGACTTTGAAAACTGGATGGTTTTAATTATTAATTCCATTCGAAATCAACAATTTTGCATAATAAATTCAAAACCCTGTAGCAAAAACAAACTTTATATTCAAAGATTGTCGTGATGTAGTCGGCGTGTCCGACACAGCGCCATCACATCTTGCCTCCGTACATCGTACGCTCATCTTCTCTACGTGTATATGCATTAACAATAAGTAATAAAATTCTAACAAGTAGATATTATTAAATTTAGTAGCAGATACTTACCGCCTTGACTGACGAGAGTTTATTGTCTGTTACCGTTTTATTAGCGACTGAAAGTCCATCGTTGCTTTTCTCCGTTGCTTGACTCGGTGCTATTTTCGTCTCATTCTGAAAAATCAAACCTGATGTTAGTTTTTCCATTTGAAAAAAATTTAATAAGAACTATTTTTTCGCATTTTACAGCGGACTTTCCAGTGCAGTGGCCTCAAATTGGTACATCAACGCGCAACATTCAATTTTACTACAATTAGCGACAGCGAGTAAGTGCAATTAATACAATGAAAAGTATGAAGGAACTCAACCGAGTCTACTTTTCCATTCAGTTTTCTTTGTGACATTTAAGTTTGTTTACACACCCAGTTAGATTACTTACTGGTTTTGCCAGCACTTCTGTGCTATTTCTTGTATTGCTTTGGTTGCTTTCGATTTGTGCATCTCTACGAAGTCTGTGCCCTTGTGGTAAATGAAATTCGTATCTGTCGTCTCGGAAGTCCGTTTTGTAGTAGTAGTAATCTGAAAATTTGTACAGTGTGATTAGGACAGTGACAAAAACAGCGTTCTGACGTAGTTGCTAATTACTTAATGAAGGCTCTTATGTTTTTCGGTTCAACAGTTTTCTATACGCTGCCAACTAAGTTCATTGTGCTGTCGTTATAGAGTCGCTCAGAAGTATGGAATTGATCAAATATCCCAAGAACTGTTGATCCCAACTCTTTCAAATTAATATAGTGTCTTTTTTCAAATATTTACCGTCATTATTTTTTTCCGAGAGAAGGTCAACTGCATTTTTTAATGTTAACACAAGTATATTTCTTAAGCAAAAACACAACGTATTGCAAACAACATTGTCAGTTAGCCTTCTATCTCAAAAATTAATTAGGGAGCACTCTAGGTATCTAATTGTTTTCCAGATTCCATATTCTGAGCAACACTGTATTTAATGACACTAAAAATGAAAATTGGAATCGTGATTTAAGCTACCGCATTCTGACTAAATTTCATGCTTCTTTATCGTACGGTTACGTGTCGTTACCCTCATTTTGTGATGTAAATCATAAACGCCATTCGTAGATCATCGTCCCTTGTTTCCGTTTTTCATTGTAATAACTTCGAAAAATCGTTGACTCTGCTAAATGCATCCTCAAATTGTCATTTGAATCGACCGGAATAACCAGAAATATAAAACGTTTTTGTGCGATAATGTTACAATAACTATATAATTATGCAAGACGTGTTACAAGGATTAACGCTACGAAAACCGGAAGCAGAATGGACATGTGCTGTAAATATCCACTGAATATTTAAATGTCATGAATCGCATCGTTTCAGCTTAGGTTTCTTCTGTTTTTCATATCGCTGTTTTGCATTGACCTGATTTACTTTTCATCCGTGTTTAATAATTCGATGACAAACAAAGACACAGTCTCACCCATAATATCAGTTTAATTTCCTGATGATTAATGTAAAAATAGAAATGAGTAACGGTAAAGTGGAAATGATGCGAGTATTGTACATTAAGCACACAATGAAGGAGAAAAAAAGGCGTACATCCACGGCTCTCTAATGGGCTGAAGTGTGTGTCATTATTTCCTAAAATGAAAGTAAACCGCGTAACTGTATTTTCAAATTGTAGTATTCTACCAAATTGATGGATCCACAACGCTGAAATCAGGAACTTTTTAATAATTGCTTGTGGGACGTCGACCGTAAAGAAACGTTATACCGTTTTCTCGAACGACATTCAAAATAAATTCACTTTTAACTATCACCTTGATGAAAGGAGTAACAGCCTACCTAAAGTGTAAACAAAAATTTATTGTTTAGGAAAAAATTTGTCGCAAGTAGTACCGCACTTTCTGGTCGCGTAAATTCTACACCACAACTTCTGTATAAAACGGTAGTAAGAAACGTGTTTTTCGTTTTTAGGGTAAAAATAACAGATAAAGGTCAAAGAGGTGATTAGTGCCTTTATTGAATGCAAACTGTGTTACAATATGTATTTATAACATACCAAGGCCCACTACTATATCACATTTGCGAATGGTGACGTAATAGGGCATGTGTACTTCCTACTGGTCAAACAATAGTACCAAGTTTACAAATGGTCAAAATCAAAGTGTACTGTATCAATCTTTTCCACACACTCCTCGTATATGACTATTACAATGTTTTCCCTTGTTTATTTTTTGTGGATATTTAGGGCTAACCACATAATTGCTCAATTTTATCTATATTATAGTATTGTTATTATTAGTATTACAATTCACTTGAAACATTCGAATAGCATGGTTTTTCACCTTTACTACACACATATCTTTATTTTAACTTACAGGGGTTATCATTAAAAAAAATAAAATTCGCAAAATCAAACCTTAAATCATTTTTTTATGCTGCTTTTTGTTCATTTCAGAGTGGTTTAAATTGAGAAACTGCTACATTTTTAACTCGCTTAAGCATTTGACATAATTTTTGCCCCATTTCCTGCCACTCCTACCTTACCATAACCGCATTTGATGATTAGTGTCGGGATAATTGTTAATGAATAACGATATAGCGGCAATAACGCTGAAAACTGAAATGAAATGTCAACGTTTTTTTTGGTTTTTGAAGATAAATATAGAAGTTGTTTAATCGTACTACAGATTTAAGTAATTTACAGTGTATCATGGAAATGTACCTTATCAATATCACATAAATATATGGTAAGATAAAGTAACATATAGCATTAAATAAAAAGGTGTGAAATGAAAAATTACGGATAACTGGTATCTACTCAAATATAATATTGACACACTTTATAACTTAACTTTTTTAAGTTTTCACTCTCCCACAACAAATGTTCAATTTTGTGCCATGAGTATTTTACGTAATTCGATATAATTGCTTTGGGTAGATCTAATTTTTTCACGACGAACAACAACTTTTACCAAATCGAAATGCTTATTAAAATTAATTGGATTCATAATTGTCGCCGAACAACAAAATATTGTCACAGTAAATACAAAAATTAAAGAACATTAAATTTTCACAGTGGTTTAACACCGTGGAAATGTTTTTCGATAGGGGAAAACAATACATCGATTTTGACATTTACAGTGTAACACACATAATACGATGTAATTACGTTCCAGAGTATCAATCAAATTAAATGAGCCGTTTGCAAGATAATCAATAAAATAAATCGGTTGTTACATTAATTTTTATTAAGTTTATTACCCTATTCATTCTAATGTAATAAAATGGTGCTCCTGAAACACCAGCACTAAAGCATTTCAAAGCGTGCTTATCAATGAAGATTTTATTAATACATTTTTCGAAATAGCGTCATTAGTTTTTTACGGCTAATTAGCAGCCTGGAACTTCTACATTATTTTGGTAACCGCTGGATCAAGATCGAGAGTAGCTTCGGAAATCATTAACTCGTTAAAAAAACGACAGACATGAGGAAATGGGAAACGTTCCGTATTCAACGAGTTATCAAACGGAAAAGAATTTTGTGTGATTTTTGTCATCGACGTGTGTTGCATAACCCGTTAATTCCAGTAATGTAAAAAATACTAGATTTTATGTTTGTTTGATGGGAAAATTTCCTCATGGATAGATAAAATGTGAGAGTTGAAATTATACCACTATTATGTAAATGAGTAATAGTAAATAATAAACAATAATGTGAGTTCAATGGTTTAAACTACTGCCAAACAAGTAAAAAAAATCCACGACTACTAACAAGCTGCTTGTACTTCTTCCTACTATTTCACAAACACATCTATGCTAAATAACATTTTATTATTTCATTCGATTTACTTAAATAATAATTATTATTGACCAATTCAATCTTTTTCTTTATTTCTACGACATCTTATTGTGCTTTGCCGATTTTAATCAAATCAAGGTCGCAGTTTTTGTGATATTGCGCAAAATAATTTAACGTATTTTTTTCGTAGTTGCCATTCACCAAATCCTAAAAAAAGTCAACTAAAACCAAAAAAATGTTGACATTTCATTTAAGTTTTCAGCGTTATTGCCGCTATATTCATTAACAATTATCCCGACACTAATCATCAAATGTGGTTATGGTAAGGTAGGAGTGGCAGGAAATGGGGCAAAAATTATGTCAAATGCTTAAACGAGTTAAAAATTAACCATATGCTCAATTTAAACCACTCTGAAATGAACAAAAAACAGCATAAAAAATGGTTTAAGGTTTGATTTTGCGAATTTTATTTTTTTTGTGATTACCCCTGCAAGTTAAAATAAAGATACTCGTATTGGTAAAGGTAAAGAACCATGCTATTCGCATGTTTCAAGTGAATTTTAATACTAATAATAACAATACCATATTTCCAATTTTTTTGGAAAATCATGAAATCATCAATGAATTAAATTGCCTAATCATTAATTTTTTGAGTCACTCTGTGTAAGCAATTCTAAATAAGGTGTCGCTCACAACAACCATATACATATTGAAATATCACGAATTCTGAATTTTTAATTTTTTAATTTTTACATTTTTCAGTTTCTCAATTTTAATAATATATTAATACTATATTTTTTATTATAACATCTCTTGTTCTTTGTGCCAAAAAATTGTTGGAAGAAAACTATGTACATAAAGAAAAAAAAACAAAACAAAGATTAAGCCCCAGCCACCTGCCCCGACCTCAATGGGTTTTAATTGTAACATCAAAATTTCTGAGAAAATTCTACCCTTTTAAAGACATGGTTTCATATGGTAATTTGTTGTTGAAAGAAAACTCTATATATTAAAAAAATATATATTAAACTCCACCCACCCGCCTCGGTCTGAATTGTGATGAAATTTTCATTCGTTATTAACCGAGGAGTGAAGCATAATTGCAAAATATATATTTCTCTACAAAAATTTACCATTTTCAACATGTTTTAAGTTTCTTGTTGTGAAAAGAAGGCTACAGGCATGATAAAAAAAGGCAAACAAATCTGTCAAATTAAACAAAGCATAACGTTAATCAGGTGATTAAAAGTACGATACAAACGGGCGTTACAAATCGAATAACTACAAAAACAAAATATTGTAAATTCGATATACTGGAAAATAAAAAATTTTAAAATTGGAAACTCGAGGAATTGAAAAATGAAAAATTTGAGGATTGAAAAGGAAGAAACATTGACAGAATAAAGGAAATGAAACAAAAAAGTGTGAATAAAATCAAGAAAATGAAAATTAAAAATCGGGAAAATGAAAAATAAAAATAAAGAACTTGAAAATTGAGGAAACAAAAAACTGAAAAATCGAAAAATTAAAAATTGAGAAATTGAAGACGCGAAGAATGAAAAATTATAATATCGAAAAATTTCAAAACGAAAAATTCAAGACGCGTTAAACTGAAAAATTTTCAAGCGTGAAATTGAAAAATTGATAAAATTAGGATCGGTTTATGGAAAGCGAATTAAATATTGAATCCTCAATTAATTTAACATAGGATTAAAATGTAGAACATGAGCCCGTTAAAACATGCACGTTGCATAGCAACGAACCTCAATTAAAATTAATCGCGATTAACTTTTAATTCGTTTTCCATAAACCGGATCTCAAAGTTGCAAAAACGAAAAATTATGAAACCGAAACGTTGAAAAATGGAAAAATGAAAAAAAAACGAAAAAATATCTCAAAAATTGGTTAAAGGTAAATATAAATCAAGATTTTTCAAAATTGTAAGATTTGACTTTGCAAATTTTATTTTTTTATAAGTTAAAATGAAAATGTGTATGCAATGTTAAAGTAAATGTAAAGAAGCGTGTTAGGCGTAAGTTCCAAATGAGGATTTATTCGGAAAATTTTGAGATGACGTCATCAATTTTTTGGGACGGGATAAACGAATAAATTTTGCGTTCAAAATCAGCCAAGTTCAGAATAGTTTACTGGTTTCACGATTTTACATACTTTTCAAGCGTATACTAAGGAAGTATTGCAATAGGGTCCATGCGGCGAATGACTATTTTCATGTTTTTTAAACGTTTCATGACCTCTAGAGTAAAATAGGTCTTCTGTTCCCGTTTGTGTGTAGACTGTCGTCTGTGTCGATTTTTATTAGACAGATATTTTCCAAAACTACCGGACCGATTATTATTGTTAAATTTAGATGTACATGTGTTAGAATTGGAAACATCGTGTAGATGATAAAATAATAAACAAAATCTGTCCAATCATCCCCACCAACAATATGGTGACGTCACCTCACAATTTTGCATGGTAAATGCTTTTTAAATTTGAGAAAATAACAATATAAGAGGAGAACGTTCATTTTTTTATTTTGCCACTACATCCATTATTCGTGGACTCTGAATGAACCGGATGTCGGGCTGTTTAACTGCGGTTAAATAATCATGGGGAGTTTACTTAGCAAATCCAGTGGACTTTTAGCATTAATTTTTAATAAATAATTGTTTAATAACAAATATATACTTAGTATACATAGACATAATTCCATAAATTTCATGCACTATGTCAACAGAAATTTAAGAAATATTCGGCCATCATGGTTACAAAAGTGGTTCCGGATATCTAGTAAATAAATTAAAGATTTAAAATTCTGATACATAATAACTTAAACCACGTAGCTCTTTTTCAGAAACTCTCGTGTGAACGGTACATTTAAGTAGAAAATGAATTTGGCATGAGAACAACTAAACGCTTTTCTAATAGATAATGCAAAACCAGAAATAAGTACTTAAAAGGATTCGGAGAAAAAATATTATTTTAGCCAATTCAATTTAAGAAGCAATCCATAACAGAATTTCTTCTTCACAAATGTGGCAGAGCTATTTCAATAAAAATTAATACCATACAAATTTTATCTTTTATGGGTGCTACTAGAAAGTATACAACAAACATTTCTAGTAGGGATATTTCTGTCAACAAGTTCAAAATTCAAAAAAAAAGCTACCACCTACTGTTGTAGATTTAATAAATTCAAAAAAAGAATATTGTATTTGTAGTTCAAGCTTAAAAGTAAACGTTAAAATTCTCACATAAATAACAAAAATAACATTGATTTGAAATGCTTGTTGCTGTCATGTGCTTCGAGTGTTCATAATCAGTAATCAGTTAATCATTTAATCAGGGAGAACATATTTCGAACGTCACTTTAATTAAGTACTCAAGTATTTATTTATTAAGACCCACCACTGACCCGGAAATGACCGGCATTCAGGCAAGACTTCTATCATTACGGGTACTAAGACCAAGTAATGATATGCATTGATTAAATTAACAGAACAACTTTCGAGATTCTAGAATTACAGCATACAAATTAGTCTGCTATTATTCTCTAATCTCTTATTATTGTTACTATTATTTTTACTGTTGCTGCTGTTACACTTTGTTGCCTTTGTTTTTATTGTTTTCTGTAACTTTTTGCGATGTTTCATTTATTTTCTTTTTTTTTTTATTGTTTTGTTGTAACACAATGCGAATAAGTGGGAGTAGTTTAAAAATGATAGACCCCAGAAAAATAGTAACACTAGAAATAAATTTAATTTTGATATATCGGGCTATTTAAACAAAACAAAATAACAGTACGACAATTGAAGAATTTGAGACAGCATAATAAAATATATTGGGTTGTTATTGTGACGGCACGCTTTCTCTTCACGTTGTTCATTATTTGTAACAAGCCGACACGTTTCGGTTATTTAGCTTTCATAAGCACTTTTCTGTAAGTTAAATTATTAGCAGTTTTGTTTTCTGGGTAAATTAGTGCTGATGAAGTAACCGAAACGGGTCCATCAATAGTATGTAAAATCTAAAAACAAGAACACTTCTGTATAACATGTAAAGGATAAAATAAAGAATTCAAGAATAAGAGAAACGGTTTATAAAATTGGATAATCACAAGATCCACTTGTGAATAGTGTCAAAATATCACAAAAATTACAATAAAGTTATTGTTCGACAAAATTACGTTGTATTAATGTCCATATCTATATTTCATCATTATTAATTTGCTACCAAAAATACAAATATTTACAAAGTAGGATTAGCCTCCATTTTCTATCTGTACTTAACGGATCAACAAACACACACGATATTTGACAAACTGTAAAAACAAGCTAATCCCTTAAGAAGATTAATACACATAAATTAAAACTCATTTAGGAAAAATTTTGCAAACATCTATATTCTGCAATCATGGAATTCTAAAATCTCAACTGTAAAAGTTCATATTTGCCCAAGTCATTTTTTTCCATTTCAAATAAGGACAGCTACACATCAGTTGATCTAAATTAAACTAAAGATGCAAATAATACCATTTTACATTTATTAACCCTCTGATCAAAGGTCAGAAGCGCACAAATAGTGTTAGTAGATATTTCGGTCGTTTGTTTTGTGATATTTGAAAAGTAAATTTGCTTTTGCTCACTATCGTACCAGGCAAATTTAGAAAAACCGAAGCTGCTGATAGTACTAATAATAATTTATTCTTTAAATATTTGTTTACTTTATCTAAGTTTCACATAACTGTCAGCCGTTCTTGATCAAATGAATTCTGTAGCAGGGTAACAATGCATGTAAATTGGAACTGTTTAGCATTTATGTTCCACAATAAGTCGCTAATTTTTTCGAAAATCAAACGTCACTATTTTAATGTATATATCGAACGCGAAAAAGTGCTTCTGCTTAATACGTTTAGCTTCGATTAAAAAAATATTCAAATCTGGAACCATCCAGTCATGTAGTAAAATTAAATAAATGTTTCTATTAAAAGAACGCTTCAAATATTTTTAACTCATCGCTTTGAAACAAATCCAACTATTTGCATCTTAATGTACACAATTATTATCGATTTTTAAATTAATTAAACCACGTACGAAGACTTTTATTGTGGCTTTTGTAATTGTTCAATTTCTGTATTACGATCCCATATAACAAGAGTCTTTTATTGACTCTATGATTAGTGAATTAACTTGTTAACAACAAAGTTGCATTTAACGATACACTTGCTGTAAAACGCAAAAAACTTATTTTTACTGTTTTATTTTGGCATTCTCTACCAAACAACACAGCTATAATTCCTCGAAACCACTATTATTTTATATTCTTGATTTTTGTGGTTGCGTGTATTTTCCACAAAACCGACTGCGAGTTTTACAGTCTATTTTGAAGATATTTCTGGTTGAAAAAATCATATAAAGTGAAACGTTCTGTTAACAAGTTTCGCAGGCAATTATATCAGAACTTGTTAACCTAAATTGGTCGAAATGGATGCTAACTTGGCATTTAATCTCCTTTGCGACTTATCAGCTCAAAGTCATAATGCAATACTATCTTGTTAACGTAAATGACTTTAATTCCCTAAAGGAACTAACAAATTGCTTTGTAGTGGATACTTCAATGAAAATTGTACCACACATAGCCTTGCACATGTTTAAGTCTTGAATTTTAAAGCAACTGACTGAACTTAATCAACAAATTTTATGATGATTTATTAATAAAATATTGTCGCTTCTATGTTTACATGGCGCAGGACATACTTATAACGATTAGTGCTGATACTATAAGTACAAAGCGGTTGTCAAACATTTAATCCTTGGAATATATGATGTATTAAGATTAACGCAAAATTTTTCCAGCGAAAATAGATAACGTCGGATTTTGTAGTATTATTTTAAATTTATGTGATGGCTAATTTACAACTTAACAATAGTTTTTTTGCGTTCAACGCAAAAATTTTGTTTATACGCAACAATGGAAGGAAAAGTAGAAGACCTTTTAACAATAGTAATTAAAATCACGACGTAGGAGTGCAAATTTTCCGTGTTTATTTCACTTTATTAATATTGTACAAAGTTAATGTACTTACTTTCATGAAACCATAAAAAAATTAAACTGCACGTCATGCGGTCATCGGTATTTTTTTTCCATCGCCACGACTGCTTGGGCAGTTCTTGTCTTATTTAACAATTTCACTGTTTTCTTTTCCCAATTAGCCCCCAGAAATATTCCACATCGGTAAGAAGTCTCCAAAAAAATGTAGAAAGCAGAAAAAGTGGAATCGCGCTAGTGTCAAAATTTTGTCACTTTTCAATATTTTTTCCTCGTTTTTTCCGCACACAAGTGAAATTATTTTCAAAACAGTCCTCAGAAAGTGAACGTAAGCTATTTAAGTAAAGTAAGCAAAAAGAAATGTGCGAATTTCAAACCCAAATGGACTTTTCTCGCGAATTCTTTCGCCGACGACACCGAAAAACGTCACGGGCCTTCTTTACCACTAACTGAACAATAAAAACATACCATTTACAGAACAAACGGCTGCAGTTGCAAGAAATAAAAGAAAATACGCGCACAAACTACCACACATCACACATAACTTCGCCATTTTTGTTTTGCTACTAAAAACTTAAGTCGACTGACGTCATAAGTCACCACTCACACCGCTTTGTTCTGAGCTGACTGTCTTAATGCTACGTGAACGGAACTTACCTGGCGCGGCGTTGTCGAGCGTGTCACCACACAGAGCTACGTATTATTTGCATTGAGACGATTACCATTTTTACAAAATTTTTAAGCTGGTTGTAGCTCGTTTTTAACAGTGCTATAAAAAGCGGCCGCTGTTTTAAACATTCCAGCTGAAATTGTTTTTCTTGAAAGTTGACGCACGTCTTTACAATCTGGCAACGCTGAATAATGGTCCGTTCACAATGCTTGACAGATGAACTGTCAAAAACTGACAGTTGTCAATTTAGTAGTGTCCGGAATAATTGTTTCTATGCAAATCTCCTCATTTTACCGCAAATTAACTAAAAGCAATAATTTTATGTATTGAAAATAATCTAGTGGTACCACTTTAACATGTAGCAAAGCTGAAAAGTCTGATCATGATTACTCCATTCGACGATTTTGTGTATCTCATAAACAATGTTCTTCTTGGAGAGGAGCCGGTAATTTAACTTTGTTGTTCATGTGTGCTTTAATTGAATGTAATTTTGTCCGCAGACTATTGAAGATTTCATATTATTGATTGGTACAATCGTGGCATTTGTTGCCTTTGTGCTTTGGTGTTGCTTCCCAGTAGTCCCCAAAGATTCACAAACACCTCTTCATTATGAAGGTAAAGATTATCAGCTCAAGTATAACCAAAGAAAAGTTGATTACTGTTCCACATAAATTCCAATCAATGTTCATATCATGCTTTGTTGCGCAAAAATGAGTTGTATTTGTGTTTTGTAAAGTTATGCCATTTTTTTATGGAATTAATAATACTACTCAGATGTTTGTATTGAAATAATAATGGATCTTTCTATATTACTGTGCCTCGTTCTCTTTTACAATGCTCCACCAGAGATGATTTTTGACTGATCTTGAGTATTAAGCTTTATATTTTTTTATTTTGTTTTTATTTGTAGTTGATAATTATTGTCAGGCTGTATTTTCTAGTCATTTCACGTTGTTAACCCTTCACGTAATCTAAATGTAACACGGTGTATTTATTGTATATAATAATGTATGAATATATTTTGTCAATTAAACTTGTTTACGTGGAACTCTGTGTATTTTCTACAGCAATAATTACATTGACTTAAACATTACTTTAAAATGTCAAATACTGAATACCAAGAAATAATCTAGCTTCATGTAAACAAACAATTAATTTTGTATTTAAATTATTTTTGTATTTAATACATGCTGAATAAAAAATAACCATAACCATTTGCTTAATCCATATCACAGTTCACTGAATATTCGTCTAAACTGTGGTCAGAACTGTCCTGTGAAAGCGATTCACTGTAATGCAAAGAAATGGGAGTAGGAGAGATCTGTTCTTCTTTCTTCTCATAAATAATATTGCTCTGTATGTTAATACTTTGATTGTAGATGCTCTAAAACACAAAGATTACTAATTTATTGTTATTTCATAACTTTTAAACTTACAGTAAACGGCAATTCACATATTGTTCTATGAAAGTTGAGACTTGGAGTCCGTTTCGGTTCAATGTCTTGCTGTTGCACTAATTTTTGCCTCATCTGGAACATTCTTTCTGTGCAGTTTGATATGTAACGTAGTTCCTTTAAGGCATCTAAAGCGTCTGATAATCGCGCCTCTTTTAAAATTGAGTACAGCTCCAGCTCGCTCGTTTTCTCCTAAAAGAACAAAGTTCAACTTCTGTTGTTTATGGTGCAGAAGCTGTACGTTTTTCTTTTGTTTTTCAACAGCGGTTTGAATTAAGTCCCTCAGAAAGGACTTCCAACATTTAATTACTTCAACCTGTTCATTTAGTCTCTCATAGTCGGTGTCAACGGGTGTGATTCCTTCATTTTTTAATTCCTTGGCCACTGTTAACCACGATTTACACATGGTCAAAGACAAGAAGTTCTCGGCAAATAGGGCTGTTATCTACAAAATTTTTGTGTTTCATTATTACTAAGTTTGTTTTTTCATAGACCGTTTCAAACCAAATTTTTGTGTACCACTTAAAATATAACTATTATTAAGTATTGTAATTAATAATAATAAGTCTTACCTCATCATCAAGCCCTAATTTTTCGTTAAACAGCTTGTAGTGTTCATTCGCAATCGCGACTTTATCTTTAAATCGTACTTTTAGGGAAAACAATATCCCATGTATCCTACACCTACATATTCTGAGAAGTTCATCGTTTCGAACGCAGCCAGTGTGAAAATAGATTCTCTGCTTTTGACACAGTGACAGCCACACATTTTTGAATTTTCCTTTCTGAATTTCGGTATTGTTTACACCGTCACACTCTTTCTCTGTTTTGTTTCTAAATATTTCCAAAAGCATTGGTCGTAATCTCTTCCCATGTTTTCTCCAAGTGATGAAATAAGGAATACTGGATAGTTTTTTGGAGGCGTCTGCAAGGACTCCAAGCGACAGTGACTTTATTGGAAAAGTACATGCCTGAAAAACGCGGTCAACCAAAACTTTACTAGTGACTTAAAGTTAAGTCACTTCTGTGACGTCAAGTAAAAGATAGACTCCTCCTGCTTTCAGAAACTCTCTGTAGAATTCTCTAGACGTAATCATACACTCCCAGAGCAAATGGATGCCACAAATGATGACTCGAACGTCGATGAGGGGATCGGTTGGTGGTGGGTCGATGACACGTCTTAGAAACCTAGTACATAAGTTAATAGCGTTGAAATTGCGTAAAAAATCGAATGTGCAAAGAACGTATAAAACGCAGAAACCATGTGCCAAAGCCTTTTGATACATTCTTGACAAAGTAGTTGTGTTGTCAAGAATTTTGACACAAACATCTGCCAAATAAAAAGGTGCGTAATTTATTATTTGCGTAGTAGGTATAGTTAATCTACCCAAGACTATGTCGGCTGTTCGATATTCTCCAACTACACCAATGATATCCTCGTCATGTGGAAACAGAAGTTGACTTAAGCAGTACAGATAGGCTTCTAGTACTTCTATGTTGTACGTTTTTAACAAATAGCCTTCAATTATGCTGATGAGTCTGCAATCGGAGTTTACTTAATGTGACTACGAAAAGTAAAAATTATGTTGTAGTTTTGTCCTAATCTATGTATTGGAATTTTGGCATCTAATGGGCCCAAGTTTTCTTTTCGAAATGATAGATAGGTATTGCAAATTATGTAAAAAGAAAGCACACAATATGAAGTTTTTGTGTTATTTCCATTCCCTTATTGCTTCTGTAAAATATTTCTACTTTGTCTATACGTTTAAACATATTCAAAATCACTACATAATGAGTAAGTAAAGTATGGTCCTTACTTAATCGGTCCATTTAAGTATAGTAAAGTTTCCACTGAGGACACAAATTTGGGTATTATCTTTAGTACAATTTTAACAAGTTCGCAGTATTGCTCAATGTGATTTTTATCAGTTGTATGCTCTTCAAATACTTTTTTTAGGAACGCTTTTGTAATTTCATTTTTTTCGACAAACTGCAAAAAATGCATTGTCCACACCATAAACACACGCATGTTGTACCGTTTACATACCACAAAAGGTGTTGTTGGTTGAAAGAAGTGTAGACACGACCAGATAATTTTTTTGAACTGAAAATCCATCTCGTCTTCCGAAAACTCTAAATTTGAAAGACATCCACAACCTGCTGCAGTTACGGAGAGTATTAATATATCTGTGCAAAGTAAAAACCGAAGATTTTTTTAAATAAACACTCATGTAATATTACCCTCGAAAATGTCAGTTGTCGAAAAATCCTTTGCAGGAAAAGTTAGCAGGATTTTCAAAATGAGCGCTGTTAAATTATTGCGATTAAACTTCTGTTCTGGGCAGACATTCGACCATCGAAATGCGTACTGCAGGCTCCTGCACACTTGTTAGATATCGTAAAACAGCGACTAATATTCTTACCACAAGGCAAATTCCGATGGCTCTTTAACATGTATCGTGTTATCTATTGCATTCAGTAGTTTCCATAACACGCAACAGGTGTCTTCAAAAGTGGGAATAGTGTTTCTGACTGAGGGATTGACAGGTTTTGTGTGTTCATCTCGTTCACGCCAAGTCGGTTCGAATCTTTTTAACAAAAATTCAAGTACACCTTGCGATAACATTTTCTGACCTAAATTTACAATATATTGATTTTTTGTACCAGTGTTTTTTTACTATTTTACATGTCTTTTTGGATATTGTACAAACCAGGTACATCAAATTGAGCAACAAGGGATATATATCGTCATTTACAAAGTCTGCAAGTTGAGCCAAAATTTCTGGGAGTTGACTGGCTTCCACTGCTGCGTTACAATCTTCAAGAAGTACGCAACAATATCCAATAGGTGGTTTATAATCTAGTAACGTTTTAATTGTACCAATTACTAATTTTTTTAAATCGTCGTCCTGCAGACAAAGTAATAAATAACCTGCAACAAAGTTTTTTTTTCAAAGGTAGTACAACCCAAAACCCCAAGCGTGTACCTAAAGTGGAAAAATATTGTTCAAGATCTCGCGCAAATTCCAGTTTGTCGGACATTTTGGTCATCATGGGAGGAACGGAACTAAAATGCAGTAACCATTCGAGCGGTTTTCTAAATTCAGATTGTTTTTCCAGTCTTTTCGTGATATTTTCATATAGCCGAATAATGTAGGGTATATCTTGCAACCAATGTTTTTGGTAGTTAAGGTGGTAGCATCATTTTATTAAGTTTAATGAAACCTTTTATGAACATTTTTGGTTAATTATTTGTTTGTAGTTTGTGTACAGCGCCATCTAGTTACTTGGTGACAATGAGTAGCCCTCTTACCACAGCTCTTATCTAAGTTTCTGCGAAACTGATTAATGATTATTTCGATGAGAAAAGGATACAAATGCATAATGTGAAACATTTAAAAAATCCTTCAAAAGTTGTAAGTGTCTTTCAGTTGCGTTTTGTGAAATGGGATGGTCCATCAATTCTACAAGCTTTCTTATCAAAAGACAAGGATTTTTTGGTCTGCAGTTATTTTTTGTCTCGCCATATTCGCCCTCCATTTTTAGTAATGTATGGGGTTGTAAATAAACTGAAATGACGACAAAATAGAAGTGAGAATATAAAAATCAAAAAATGACATTCAATTTAAGCGCCATGATTGTCGTGCGAAACTTCAAACATTGACGTTTAAATGACAGCTTGTTGACATTTTGAAAAAATGTGTAGCAAAATAATAAATTTAACTCAATTGAGTGCTAGTTTTAGTAGATTGTCAGTTACACAGTTGCCTAATATTTATAAAAATAGTATTCCAGCCGCGTCAAATAGGTAAGAACAAAAATTGGTAATAAATTCTACCATAACCTAACTTTCTGATTCAAGTCGAATAATATCTCGAAATATATCATCAACGCCCGCGAAATGCGGTATTATGGAATTTTTCGATGATGAAAAGAATTGGGGTGCTAACGAGGTCCGCAGTGGGCGCTCGTGGAAGAAAGAGGAGCTTCGATTAAAATCCAATTCTGATCTACACAAACTCTGGTAAGTGTACACATTTTAAAGGGGCGATTTTAATCCACCCGCTTTAGGTTTGTTTTATTGAAGGAGCGTAATATGTTGCTTACTATGGAACAGAACGCTAAAGATGAAATGAAGTTATTTCCAAGTCCAGAACGACTGGATAAAGTAGAAGATTCTATGGACAATTTAGAAGCCATAGTAAGAGAACGTAATGTGGCTTATCATCAGTTGGAGACTGGTGAGACAGGTGAAAGACCAGGCAAAGTGCGAACCGGACCCTTTGGCATTAAATATTATCATAAGTAATATTGTTAAACACTGTCGCAAAATGATTGAAAATTCTTTTACAGAATGTGTCAGTATTTAATTCCAAAACATATGAACAGGAAGTATCGTGAAAAATACCCAGAATTTATTCCTGATAAAGATGTTGAAGATTTCCTTTTAAAATATAGAGAAAAACTTTACTTGACTAAAAGAAAACAGAAAACGTAGGTTTCATTTTGACTTTAATTAAGTGTACTTATTGTTTTTTTTTTCTAGGCGCGACTTTAATCATGTTGTTGGGTTATTGAGACGATTTCCGAACATCGATATGGCGGCACTTAAAGAACAATACCCAGATGTTGATATTGAAAAAGCGAAAGCCAGTAGGAAATGTAGAGGGCATTTTGTTCCTACATAATTGAAAAAATTACTGAAAACTTGTACAAAAGTAAATAAACACAATATAGTTTCTTTGATTTATTGAATAAGTTAACTACATTGTTATTTGTCCATACAGTGAAGTAATTGTCAGATACATATTTTAAGATGCATACAAAATACTACTTCTGAGCAAAGAATACTTTATGACATAACAAATAAAGATGTAGTCTCTTCCACAAGACAGAATTTTTCAATTTGTATCACTGCCGTCCAAGTTATAAAAGTTTCAACAAGATTTTAAAATAACCTTTTACTATTAACAGCACCAAATTATTCACCTAACTAAATTGTTTTAATTAACTGGTTAAAAGCACCACCAAAGCTACAAAGAGTTACAATTTTATGGACTGGTTTAAAAGGATGTTTAATGACAACAGTATTGGATATACAACAGAGTATTCCCTAAAGAGATTGTTAAGTTACTTTTAATATCCCTTTAAATACATATTCTTATTTGAAGACTTGGAAAATTCTAAATTTTAAAAGGTAACGAAATATCACAGTTCAGCTAAAAAGTTTAAACGAAATTATTAAAATTAACCAAGCCTTTGCAAATAATAATCGTTATACTGTAGATACATAGATTCGGAATTAATTATTACTAATTTCAATTTAACATGCCAATTAATAAAGTAACTAAGGAACCTGTGCATTGTCTACATGTGCATTATTACAGTACAAGATCAAGCATTATTACAGGTATGATATTACAAAAACTATTTAATATCTATCACATTTGTATATTCATAAATATCAATAAATAGAGAAGAAATGACTAGAATACTAAATTAAATATGGAATTAGTTTGTCGCCTACAAAAATATATCACCCTATTCAGAATTAAATTAAATTAACGCAACCATATATACAATAAAAATAAACCGGAAAAATAAAGCAGCTGCACATTTACAAGAACTGTAAATGTACAGTATTAGATGGCCATAATTGTTTTAAAGAAGTGTAAACATCCACACATTTCTTGCTAAGAGGGTCGGTTTCAGGAATAGTACTCAGTGGAAAGCTATCACCCTGTTAAATTTCGACTTTAGTACTACTTTAATCCAAACTCAATAATACTCACATTTTCATTATTGTACGCCCATAGAACCTCCAAAGTGGATATAAAATTCTCAAGCTCGACATTCGTAGCAAAGTATAAAATCCAGTCACCACTACACTCATGAACCTCTCTACACGAAAATTCCTAAACATATAATAATATTAAAACCTACAACGACCCACGAATTTTTTTACTTACCAACACACACCAACTCTGTTCTGCTGAAGGCAATCGAAACGCTATCAAATCGATAATGGCCGCACAAGATAGAACTTGAGGACCTTTTATAGGCTGATGCTGATTTCTGGGAGGTAATAACGAAGAAACAGTGCACGGGAACGCCTCTCGTACTGTTAAAATGTGATCACTTGTCATCAAAAGAGAACAAGACTGAGTCAACATTTTTTCCTTTAAGTTATACCCCTAAAAACGCAAGTTAGAATCGAGCATTTGTGTTATTAAATTCTGGTAAGTACCCCACTAGCCGCATGTACTAAACACTGCAACCAATCACTAGCTACATACTCGTCAGGTGCAGCCAAGTGTAAGGTGTTGCCTTCGATAATTAACTGGAAAGTGTGAGGTCGCGGACAGTTGTAGACTCGTCGAGCACCTTGACAAGATCCGTTGATTAGAGGGAAAACTCGCATTGGGACACGTTGGGATGCTGATGATAACATGTAGAGAACTCCAGCCCTGGATTATGGGTGTTTTAGAACGATCTTACGATAAATTTTTTTCTTACTTTAGGATAAAATACGCCGTTTCCCAGCGGACTTCAGTGTCTGGTGTTTTAAACATAAGAGGGCCTTCTTTATTAGGGCCTAGTGGCGTAATTTCGGGGATGTCTGGATTGAAATCTTGTATGTTTACTATGCTGTAATAAAAATATTCTTCCTCCTGAAAAAAATGTACAATTGTAAATGGGATTTTACATATTTTTATATCGATTTTAAATGTTTTTGAAAAGATATTTACTTTAAGTCCGTTGTCATATTTTAAAGTATTTTGCTATTAATTAGACACTGTGTTTTTGTAAATATTGTAATAATAATAAGCCGTGATACTCTAAACGAAATGAGTGAAAGTTTTTCGTGATAGCATAATGGTTTTTTTAAGTTATTACATGCTACACATGCACCAATTGTTTCTAGTAAGATAATTTGAAGTGGATTAAAAAAGTGTGAATGTACATTGTAAAGCCCTATACATCACGATTCTTTAAGTTTTCTGATTTATATTCTCCCTTTGTATTTTTTGTAGTTTTCTGATTCTCTGCAAATGGTTGTAAACTGTCTAGGAGAAATAAATCAAATTAAATATGGTTACGTATATATACGTGGATGTGTTTTTACCTTTTTCCACCATTGTAATCTTGGAAACTGGAACAGATACGACGTAGCTTAAATTAAAAAAGTTGCACGTTTCGTGCAGATTAATAAAATTAGCCAGGAAAACTGAAATACGATAGTTTGCACCATTTAAAAAGTTAAAAAAAGTGGGTACCTATTTATAACTTCGAAAGTTTTAAAACTACAAATATGCTACATAATATAATATTTCAGTACGTGTGATAAATGTCAATGTATTTTAGGACTAGGGAAGTTTCTGGACAGCGATGAAGGTCGGGTGTCGTCTCAATTTTACGACTACTACCAAAGTAAGACATTTAAATAGAAAAACAATCAATTAAATAATTTACCTTAAGTATTGGTTATGATGTTTGCACTCATTAAAGAATTAAAACTAATGTGAAAGCTGTGTGATATTTTTCAAAATTATTCAGAAATATTCCAAAAAACAAAGTTATTTCTTATCCAACAACTTTGTACTTGGTACCAAGATATATGGAGTATTTAAGGAAAGTGTGACTATATCTTGATTTGATAGATGACATCAATGTATGCTGTTCATATATTTTAAGTAAGGGAGAATCACAACCACATTCTAGTGACGTCAAGTTAAAACTGTGCAAAGTTTTTCAATCTATTGCTGTTAGTTTTAAATAACTGAAATCACATGTGTCCATAAAATAAACTCTTTTAATTTTTTACCGTAGTCATTTAAATATTAAATAAAAAAAACGTGTTTAGGGTATTTCTTTCGGCATTTATAACTATAAAATAGGCCATGATCATGTCTAAGATTATCAAAGAAAGGAAATGCTTTCAAAACTTACTAGTGATTTTTTTAAAATAAATTGTATGAGTTTTTAGTCGTTTAGATTTACTTATTTAGCCAGCGGATCATAGTAGATCTATATAATTAGGAACTTTGTACATTTACAGGTGGCACCATCATACAACAATTGTATAACTGGGCTAAATATCTCAGACATATGATTTTGTACAGCGAAGACTTTTCAGATTCAAGTGTATTTATATTTGAGCGTGAATTTTTTGTGGTTTCTTTGAATAGTATTGATGTAACAACAAAAGCTCAAATTCGCTTATTTTTCACTTAAATCAGCAACAAGACTTAAATACCACAACCACAAACCCTTGCTTTCATTTCCTTCTATATAGTATCCCAAATGATCGAAAAAAACCTCCTCTAGTAAGTCGTGCAATTTGTTTTTAAAATAATGATGTTGGTAGCACCAACGCGTTGTCAAATACTGGGTGACTATTAATAATTATTATATTTTGGCATTTTTTTTAACATACATAGCCATCTTTTCACAACAAGAAACTTAGAACATGGTTAAAATGGTACATTTTTGCAAGGAAATATAGATTTTGCAATTATGGGGTGTAGCCTAAAATTTTCCATTTTAAACATGTTTTAAGTTTCATTTTGTAAAAAGAAGTTTACACATATTAAAACAAAAAGGCGAAATGTAAGCCCGCCCACCCGCCCTATATCAATTGTGATGATTTGTTTTATTCTTAGAAACTCAAAACACGTTTAAAATGGTAAATCTTTGTAAAAAAATACAGACTTTGCAATTAGGCTCCGCCCCTAGGTCTGCCAACGAATGAAATCTTCATTACTATTTAAATCAGGGCAGCTATCGGTGGGGCTTACTGCCCATTCACAATGGACATAAGACATAAGAACGAGCGCATAACATAATTTACGTTTTTGGTTTGTGTCTGGCTTATGCTTATCTACGTTCACAGTGGACAGAGTGAACTCTGTAAGAATTGTTAAACTGCGCAAACGCAGAACGGAATAACTCCCGGCTAAACATAGAAACGGCTAACCTCAAACTGAGTCAATCAAAATATCTAACCTACAATTTCATACGATATTCGAACTTGACAACTCGCAATACAGAACAGACTCGCAGTGTGAAGCTTTGATTATAATTTATACATATAATATAATCAAAGGTGTGAAGTGCCAAGTGCCAGCTGTCAAAGGGAATTCAACAGCAGCATTCAAAAGTCCCTAGATTTTAACATAAGTTTGACATAATTTGTGCACAAAGTTGAACTTTTGACTTTTTTTTTAAACATACGTAGTCGTCTTTTCACAACAAGAAACTTAAAACATGTTTAAAATGGGAAATTCTTGTCGACAAATATGGATCTTGCAAATCATCACTACTGAGATAGGGCGGGTGAGCGGGGCTATATTTTGCCTTTTTTTTTAATATGTGTAGACTTCTTTTCACAACATGAACGTTAAACATGTTTAAAATGATTGAAGCAAATTTTGGGTTGGTAATTCTGAATTATTGGCAGCAATTTTAAGTTGACATTTTCAGTTCAGTGGTCAATTCTGACATGAACGCACATAAAAACCGATGAGAAGATGGTAGCTACTGAACTGGTACCCAAGGTCATGATACAAGTAAATATGGTATGGACATCCCATGAACCAAAACTCGTCTTCTTCTGCGCAACGTTATCTGACGTCATGTGGAATGAATGACCTTCCACTTCTGTGTTGACATCTGATGTCAAATATCAATTTTAAGGGTTATGAGTAGACAGCGGATTTCTGTCGGGCTACGTCACGATTTTAGTGGGGACGCGCTGCATCGCCGGGACTCAGTAGCGGGTCATAGGTAATCACTGAATTTAATTGTCACTTGATTCCATAAATACAATTAACGATTTATTAATCAAACGGCTAACTAAATAAGAACTGGAATTAACAGCAGAGTGCAACGAAGCAGCGTTATTCTAATCTCAAATAAACGAAGTGCAGCCGGTAACTGCAATGAATTCCCAACCCGTACGAGCCGTACCGAGTTTGGCCTTGTCTAGTCCGACAGAAATCCGCTCTCTAGTTATGAGGCAGTTATGAGTTTTTGTGGTTATGAGGGTTATTGTTTATTGTTACCAAACTGATGCGTAAAAACAAATTGGTGGTTTGCTAGCGACCTAGCGTTGTTAAAAAAATAGCGGGGATGATAGCAAATAATAAGAAAATACTGAAAATATGTGTCCTTGTTATGCTCCGTCTTTTCGACAGCAGGTATTTTTTGCTTCCAGTATGGCGATCCTGTTACTGTCATTTGGCCGTCAATTGCCTTGGTGGTAACACGTCTTCCACGACTGTTTGCTGGTTACCGGTGACACTTTCTCGTTGAATAGGGCTGGAGTTACTTAGGGACTGGAATAGTGTTCTTTCCGGTCCGTTAACTCAATAATTCTAGTACAGTCTGTCCTAACCTCAAATCGTAAACACATCAACCTTTCGTTGACAGATAGCGAAAATTACTAGCCTCGCGCTATCTTTGTTTAACACATAGGTTAGGTTCCTCTCTGTCGAATTCCGACCACAGGCAGTTTGCCGTACTTTCTAAAAGTAATAGTAGATCTAGTGACTTTAGTTGGGCTCGGTAAATATTTCAATTTCCCGCCTGAATACAGCCAGGTGACGTCAGCAAACCTGCGTATGTCCATACCATATTTACTTGTATCATGCCCAAGGTCCCTTTATAGTGATTAGGTTAGGGTATATCATGACCTTGAAGAGACATGTTGATGACGTAGAAAGTACCTCTTGCGCGGTTATTTTTAAATCTAGTTACTTTTTCCCATTATATTACAAGAGCGATTTTGCCGAAACTGGCATTGTGGTTACAAGACCTTTGTAGCCAGGACGTAATGACAGTCAGGGTAGTTCACAACAAGATCCTAAAAACCCTAGCGAGGTACTTTCTACGTCACAACCGAGTGGTGGCTCCCCTTCCCCCTGTAACAAGTCTGTCCACAAACTCGCTGTATGCACTAACCTAGTCACTATTAAGTAACCTTGACTGGTACCCAAAATTAGAATTTGACATCAGATATGAAACCATTAAATTTTAAAAATGTTGCCAACCTTACAAAAAGAATCACAAACATTAATAGCGACTGGATATTTTTTTATAAGCAATGTAACAACCAAGTATTAAATTAATAAATGCTGCATATACAATACACACTCCATAATGTTATTGTTATTACAAAATCAAAAATCTATCAACACCGCAATTTCATCCAAAATACAACTGGCAACGTTGCCACTGTTGGTTTTAGTGATTTATTCTAGTGTGAAATGAGTTAAGGTTATGTTCAATTCATTTTCATTGGCAGTTTCCGTTCATTTTTTAATTTCAAATTGACAAACCTTATAGTGCCATTTTCATAAGAATAATTAAACTATGAAATCAAAGTTTTTTTTAACTGAATTCAAGAGGTAAGGGATTTTTGATTTTGAAATAAATTATAAACATATGTATCATATTTCTACTGTAGTAGAAACAAAAACAAATTTAGAATCTTGTGTTTCAAAATCTTACAACATTTGACAGTGACAAGTGACAATTGCTCTCGCCAGCGAAGTTTTGGAACTCGGGAAAATTTTGTTTAACGTCCGTGAAAACATTTTTCATTCATTTTTGTTTATAAAAGATACGTCTATTTTATTGTGCTAGAAACGTGAAAAAGTCCCATAGCGTATCATTTTTTAACAGAAAATATTTAAACAGAAAACATAGAAGGCTGCCGTTGCTATGACAATTGATCAACACATCTGTCAAAAATTAGAACGCATTGAAAAATTTTCCAATTTAATTCTTATTCGAGTGCTTTGTGTTAGTTTTCTCGGTGTTTTGTGGTAATTTGTTTACTCGCACAATGGAATCAAACCGAGATGAAAATTTCTCGTGCGCCCTTGAAGAAATTGGGGCAAATACGGCCGCACTGAATATATTGCCGGAAAAATCCAAGGGCCACGACTTATTTATGAAATTGAGAGCTGAAAAACAAGTATGCGGTTTTTTGGAAGAGGCTGTTTTTGAAGTAGGTAATTCTTGATTTTTATTACAAACGTGAAAAAAAATTTTCATGCAATTTGTGAGCAAAGTTATTTCTTTTTCTTCTTGTGAAAAACAAGGTATACTTTACGCACTTGTTGCACACATAACTATTTCTGCTTCGCGTTCATAACAGAGCTATTACACCATATTCATCACTTTGGGAAATTTTCCGTATTTCAGGGGGTATAAGATTGGCTTCAGCTTCATACATTATTAATAATTTATTGTTGTGAAAAATTAAACCTCGAATGTTACAATTGATTTGTCATACTAACCACGAAAACATTCCCCAAAATTTTAAAAATTCCAATTTTTATTTAAAAGTAGAAAGTAGAAAAAAATACACGTTTTATAAAAATCTTAGAGTATCTTTATAACATACAAATTAAAAATTTTCAAAAGATAAAGTAAAAATAAAAATCTATAAATATAACTACGACGGATACTGCGTTCAAAAAATGTTAGCAGATACGTATATAGTTCTTTATGACCTTTCAACTGCAACAAGTGAGTCATAATATTACAAGTTTTATCATTTTATGAATGTTTGTTTGCAACTAAAATTGCTATCAAAAACATTCAGATAATTTGGCATGGTCAAGGTTACTACATGGTCAACGTATTTTCACGATTTCATTATATAAATCGCTAAAAATCCCAATGCGACAAAAGCGTTGATAAATATTTACTATTTTTTACTAACATTCCATACCTTATCCACAGACGTCTGCTTGCAGATAGCCCTCCTCAAGTTCGCCATATCCCTCATGCTGAGGTGTTTTACAGCAGGCAAACGTGGTTTATTAATATCTCGTCGCATTGCCACTTCTAGCTGCCCCACAAGATCACCCGTAATTTTAGCACAACCAGTAGTGATAATACACTGCATATCCTTATCATAATTAGACAGATGTATAGTTTGTGAACTTGGACCTATCAAAATCGTGTTGAGTTCAGTGAAGGGTAAAACAAAGTGATTACAAAGGGAAGTGCCCAACTTAATCCCCGTTATATACAGGGTGGAATCCGTAAGAATCAACAGCAGGGGTTTACTCTCGCCATTAGTAGCGTAAGCGCTTCTTACAGGGAATATCTAAAAACGCAAAAACGTAGAAAATTAATTTTACACTCAATAATTTGGTTTTTACCCTTAAAAGACGCTCTAGTCTGCTTCTAAAGATTTCTTTCTTCAACTGGATGGCGAATTTTTTATCAACCGTGTCTTCAGCAGTCTGACAGATTTCTTTACCTTGTAAAATCTCCCTTTCCAAAGCTTCATCAACTTCATCCCTCCCTTTATACTCATAGTTGATATTTTTGACATAAAGTCCCATGTATTTTCTGCAGTTCTTCTGTTTGTTTTGAGCTTTAACATCCAACATTTTCTTCAAAGTAACATTCCGTAAAAAACGATTAATTAAAGATGACTTAGAAGTGGCGGGTTTTAAGTTTTGCAAACTTTTACTAGACACCATGTTTCCTTCATGATCGCTTTTTCCCGATTCGGAAGGGGCGATTTTAAACGGACTCAACGAATAGTGGTTGCTCCTGTTCACTTTACGTTTTGGTGAATGTAAATGCCGACTATTGTTAACGTTTTCTGAAGACATATCAGAAATAGTCTCGTTGTCGGACCAATCCATCTTTGTTGTGGATGCGTATTTGCTAACTGAATTTTTGGGACTTTTTAGTTCAATTTCTTGAACTTCTTCAATACTGTCGCTTTTTTCTGGTGCAGGATTTGCACTTGAAATTACTTCAAAGTCGTCTGGTATTGATTCAGGCTCTTTGGCCTTTCTACGAAAAAAATTGAACTCTTTCAATATCATTTGATAAACGGTGGAACTTTTTGGTTTGTTTTGTTGCTCAAAGGACTTCTGGAACTTGTCATATTCATAGGAGTAACTTATGCCTTTATGTTCATAGACGTTGCTGTCACAAAGTATTACGTTCGCTGGTACGTTCTGGTTGCTGGGATAATTAGGGTAAAATCCTTCACTTGCAGTTAGTTTCAGATTAGTTTTGTTAACGCATACCAAGGGTTTGTCATTTTTCTTCACTGGTAGTGGTTGAACTTGGAGGGATTCAAACCCTTTATAAGTTAAATTTGTGCATGATTTCCGTCTGTTCGACTCGTGCGATGAAGAGTAAATCGCAAAGTCCTCCTGACCTTCAGGAACACCGCGCTCCGCCAGTGGAACAGACGTAGAAAAATTCAATATATTCTTCAAACTACCAAAAATATTTGAATCAAGTAAATTACTATCAGATCTTCTTTTTCTACTAATCTCTTCTTGTACTATATTTGTATCAATGTATTTCTTTGAGGGGTTAGTTTTCTTCAAACAACTCGATTTCGGTTGCATCAAGGTCGGCTCCTTCTTCACACAATTCTCTTCACTATCTTCATCAATTGAACTGGATATACTACCAGTAGAACTTGATGAAGTTGATGAAAATCGCGTATTGTGCTGGATGTATAAATCAGATTTAATTTCTCTTTCAGAAGGCGTTTTTTCATAATATGGAGCATCACCTTCAGCAGCCCAACTATACCGTCCTTTAACCACATCAGGTTTTCGAACAAAGCCCCTCTGGAAAAAACTCAGAGATACGTCCGGTTCGTGAGTTATAAAACCGTGATTAATATGAATATCATCAATCTTTGTACTATTCAGAATATCTTCGTGAAAAGAAACTCTCTTTTTTGGAGTGTCAGATTTTGATTTTTTCTTGCGCTGTCTTCGAAAGACTATTTGCTCCTCTGCTGGTTTCTCAACAACAGGGATGTCTTCAACTATAGGTTCAGGATTGTGTACGTTGACCTTTAGGTTTTCGTTCACTTCTTCAGACATACTGACGTGCATCTGGTCGTTTTCCACGTTCGTGACTAATTTATTTTGTAGAGTGTAATCTAACAGTTCGTAGCTGTTTAAAGAAACGTTCATTAAATCATTATCTGTTGGTTTTTCGTGTGTATCTTTGATAGGGTGTTCCATTTCAAATACCTCATCACTTAATGATTTATTCAGCACCTCTTTCTTGGATTTTTCTAATGAACATTTTAACGAAATGGACTCAAGCTCAGCCTCAAATTTATCGAAGTAGCTGGCTACTGACTTGGACACGTTAAGTTGACGATGACTACCATTTTGATTAGAGAGATCACTGTGCTCCACGTCAGCTTTTTTATTGTCCTTTTTAGTTTCTATTGCTTCATTATTTTTGATATTCTTCCAGTTGAGTTCTTCTGTACGTTGTATAATATCAGTTTCTTTCATAATGTCTTTCTTCTCCACTAAATCATTTTCTAAGTTAGGTATGGCATCAATATCACAACCAATTCCGCTCACGGACATCACAGAAGTGATTTCGCTCTCGCTGTCCAGCAGCTGGACTCCCGAATCACCAGGCGAAGCTAAACTCGATGTTGTACTTGATGTCATTTGAAGATCTTGACTGTTTTGCTTCTTGATTTTACCAATTTCAGGCATTCCTTTGTGCTTGTTATCAATTTCCACGATGTCCTGAATTTCCATTGTGTTGCTGCAATAGTAAAATGGGACTAGTGGAGTAAATTACACCCTAAAATGTATTATTGATTTCTTAATGTACATTAACGTGACACACTGTTCAAGCGGTGATTGACACAAAGACAAGATACAAACTGCGAAGTGGTTCTGTGCTAAGTATAAGAATGACCTTATTCCACCAACATAAAAAATATTGAATACAGATGGTACAAAAATAAACAAGCACATATGACTGATGAGTCACCCGGCGGCAGTAAATAAATAGTAAAAATCCTTACCTTGTTATTATTGTCCCCGAGAAAATGTCCTTGCGGCTTTCGTTTTAATCTCTTATCATCGTAACTTTGAGGAAATTGCACACAATGCATAAAAACGTCATTATTTTTGTTGGGGTGCTCGACTTGACACTTTTGAGCATGCGTTTGCTGTCATTTTGACGTTTCAAACGCACATTGATTTTCATCGGAGCAGGCCAGGACCGGACTTACAACAGATCCGTATTAAATAACACAACTCCAAGATTATTTGCATTAAGTAATTATTACGGTTTTTGCATTAAAGTAGGAAACAGAGATATAAAAAAATAAAATAGTTTTTTTTTTTTTCAAAGACATGAAAAATGTGGTAGAACAGAATCATGATTAATTACTTTTTCTTAAATTTTGAAACATCGCCCCAGAAACAAATATCTGGAAAAAAATATACTAGTTCTTGAAAAAAAAAAACTTTCTAGCCAAAATGACCCAATTTATGTTGTAAGATGCTGTACGTGTAGATCGGTGTCACTAATATGTTTAATTCTAATAAAAAATATGTTTTCAAATTTACACATATACGTGACAATCAGCATTTTGTTGTTGGTATTTTCATTTAAAGAGTTATATGGAATTTTCCAAGTATTAATTTTACTGCGCCTGAGCATGATTTCAGTCTGGATCTCAACCAACTGACGCAAATTTACATAACCAATGAAAAACTTAACTTAATTATTTAATATGAATTTTTAATTTTCGACATTATTTAGAAGTTTATGATGGTGGTGCGATGTATAACATTAACCTTTGGAACCTGAAAAACACAACTGGTATAAAATTTGTTGGAGCACAGTGACTCAGAATTCTGTATTTCTGTAATTTTATAGTTTGCGAGTAGATGGTGGGTGTAGTTTACGTTCCTAATTTTAACACAGTTTAAGTGAATCATAATCTCCAGCTCATTTTTGTATATGAATTATAACGACCGCAATTTACACGATAAGAACCTTACATCTTATCATTATTGTCATTGTTAAAGTTTTAAATTAGAGCAATAAATCACAACTGCAAAGTTTGTGGACTGTTACTCTTTGATGTGATGAATGATGAGTCATGATGACACAACAATGTATGAAACTAAACCAGTTTTAATCACTGTAGTTACTTATACTAATTTCCTCGTTGTGGCTGCAGCACAATTTGTTTATTTATAAAGGAAAAAACAAATCTTTACCGACACCTCTAAAATAAAGTCATATTAATATACACAATTTCACTGTAATTTGATAAACTTATTATGCTAATAATCAATTGATCAATAGTTATATCGATAATAATTGTAGTTAATGTAAACGTAAGTATGTAACTAATTGACAGGAATAGTCGGCTAATTGGTATTTAATTGTAATTAGTAATAATAAGAGTTGATTATGTAGGTATATAGCACTAAATTGCAGCAGTTAAGCACTAATAGTAATAAATATTTAATAGGAGATGATTTATTTAATTATGATTAATTGTATTTAATTAGTAGAAACATGTCAACAAACGAACTACATTGTGCTCTCAAGATTATTTTATAGCGTGAAATTGAATTAGCAGAATTCTTTTAAATTTGGCAAGGTGTTGTAAAAACAACGGTATTTCAAAAGGCACACGTATGTTGTCCTCAGTTTGACGAGTATTTCGACCGTCTGGTTTGTTAAAGCATTGTTCGTCTAATAGAGCCTAAGTGATCATAAAATTTTATTAAGACCCAAAAGTAGTGAGTTTAGTATACCTGCGTACATACAATGTGCCGGACGAAGACGGAAACAGAAACATACCAGATGCCGTAATTGCTACAGTTTTACAATCCCTTCCAAAATTAAAAGAATTCTACCGTATATTATGTTAATTCTAAGATAAAATAAAAATCGGTCTATAAAAACGACATTCACAGCTACTCCGCAAACGGAATTGGAAAGCAGAAACGGAAAAATTTGAACGTTACATTTTTTATGTGCCACATCTTCCACCTCTGACTGGATGATTGCCAGGGATGAATTTAGTCAATTATTGCCTTTCGCCCCGATCGCTTCTGTATTAGTCAGAATTACGAATTTATTTCCGTCTCCGTGCGGGGTTCCGATTCCGTTTGAAGAAGATCATTTATTCGCACGCAATAAACAAATTGTCACTGTATTTGTGTCACAGTAAAATTATTTTTTTTAATGACCATAACAGTATGAAATATGTACTAAGTAAAAGTTTAGGGAAGTATTGCTTGCAACAATGTTGTTGACAGTAGATGAGAAAATGTAGTTTGAGGAACAATGGGACAAAATAAAACAAGGAATAAACAAAGCAGCAGAGAAACAAATTGGTAGAACCCAAAATAAAGAAGAAAGAAGTGGTTTGACCCAGACTGTAGATAAGCAGTAAATAAAGCAAGATTAAAATGGTTAAGGTCGGGAAGTGCAAAAAGAAAAAGGAAAACAAAATACAAGAGTGGAGCAAACAGAAACAGAAAATAATAGACATAACATAGATAACACAGTCATTTAAAACTAGAGAGAAAAAAGACAGAAATAAAAAATTCTCTCATTAATAATTCAGCTTCTCGGAGACATTAACGATTAATTTTTATAACACTTAAACGTGCTAGTTGCGCTCGCATTCTTAAGGTTCTTTTCTGAAATAATAAATAGTCGGCATGGCTACTTAGTTTGTTTTATTATAATAATTCTATAGACGCCAAATTATTCAGAAAAAATGAGTTTGAGGAGTACAAATGCAGTAATCATATGTGAATTGGTAGAGTCCCCTTTTTTTTCTTAGAGTGTTTATTATATAATTAGTCTCATCTTGACAGCTACTAGCCCCACCCGCCCGCCCTTTTTTCTTAAAGGATATGTCATTTGCCAAAATCAGTCTATTTTAGCAAGTAATAGCCCCGCCCACCCACCCTTTATTTCCTTAGGGTGTATGTCATCTGCCAAAATCCTTCTTATCTTAGTAAATACTAGCTCCGCCCACCCGCTCTTTGTTTTCTTAGAAAATATATCATTTGCTAGTACTTGCAACGATAAGACTGAACAATATTAAGAGTAATAACTAGAATGAAATAGGGAAGGGTAGGCGGGGCTATTGCTTATTTATTGTAGGAAAAATTTAAATTGGTAAATTGAGTGTTGGTTACTTAAAAATGGTATCACTAAGGAATATAATAACAAAGACAAAATTATACGTACTGTTATGTTTTTTTTTCTTTTGAAATAAGAAATAAATCTTATAACAAATAGTACAACAAAAAAGTTACGATTAGCGCTTTTTTACAGCCTTATTTATATCAGTTACCACTCCCACTCTACAGAAGAACATATAATAAACCCCGCCCACCCACCCGCCTCCATTTTGGTGATTCATTTTATAAAAAAAAAAATAGTACTACTAAATTTTATTGCAGCAGAAAGAATACAAAATTTATTGTTTAAAAGAAATAATTAACAGTTTACGACACATATTGAAGAAGAAACATGGAAAAATTATTTTAGGAGGAGGAGATAACACAAGACAGGAACATAACATGGACGGTAGAGGGAGTAGAAAAATACGAAGAATCTACATATGCAGAAATAATAGAAAATATAAAATGGAAAAGCAGAGGGATGTGGTGATATACGATATGGAGAAATCATAAAATATGGAGGAGAAGCACTGAACAAAAAACTATACGAACTGATGCGAGTGATATGGAAATAACAAAATGGCAATAGAATGGAAATTGGGAACAGTAGTACCTATATCTAAACTCATCATACATTGTGCAAAAATTATAAAAGCATTACCTTGCTAAACTTGGAGATAAAATAATGAAAGGAATGATAAAAGACGCTACACAGAAAAATCATAGGAAGTTACCAATTAAGGTTTGGAAGTGAAAAATCAACAGTAGATGATTTCCGCATTCTAAGACAGATAATAATAGAAAACACCTATGAATATAATATGAAAGTATACTATTATTGTTCTTAGATTTTAAACAAGCGTTTGATAAGTTAAATATGACAAATATGTTCGAGGACTTAAAAAATATTAATGTACCGAATAAACTCATAAGAATAATAGCAAAGACAATGAGAGACTCCCAAGAAAAAGCTATTTAAAAAAATACATAGAAAGAACTAGAGAACCTTAATTGGAAATTAATGTTATCATGTTCGTCCAAAACTCGAGAATGTTATCTTAAAAAAATGTTTTTCAAAATATGATTCGACCCAGGATATTGTTTGCACGAATTTGTTTTTGAAGATGTTTCAAAACAAATGTTACAATACAAAATGTCATTTTCGTGTTTCCTTCTCTGTACTGGTGATTTTATTAAACACATAATATCGAAACTGTCCACCGTGAAGTTTTAGCTACACTTTAAAATTATTTTATCATAAATTTTTATATAAATAGTAAAGTTCTATCTAGCTAAAATTTGTGTTTTCATCCCCACCAAAAATTTGACGTGACATCAGAATTTTGCGAAGTAAATTTCAATTTTAGAATTTTTACAAGGAACTTTAGATTAATTTTTCTGCAGTAAACCGCCTTATTTGTCTACGTCACAAAAAGACCAATCAGTGTTGTAAACCTTACTATTATGATTATTTTCCAATGTGTAATGAATGCATTAGAATTATTTTAAGTTGTCTTAATCACTTATCTTCCCACCCATCCTCACCACCACAACGATGTAATTTGAAACATTTTTAGAAAAAATTAAATAAAATATCGTATACAAATTACCTTCATCTATTGGAATAGGTACGAAGCAAAACAATGAAACGTCAATTTGAGAACAGTTAGCACACAATACTTATTGATTTGTTCCAATTATATCATGTTTGTATTTTGGGTGCCCATCACAATGACATTGTGTTTTAATATGTGGTTAAGATTGCAAATTATCTCAGTTGTCCCAATAAATGACTTTTTCTAATTGAACCTACTTACCTTTTGTTAGATATTCCATGGTTAAATAAAAGAAACGAACCTCACTATGTACTGAGGCCTCCTAGAAGTGGATGCATAGACACTAAACCACCAATGTTGACAACAACAAAAAAAAAACAGTTATAGCTTTTACGTCTTTATTATACATATAATACACCGAATATATGTTACATATAAAATATATTTCTCATCATTTTTGAGCATAAGAAATTTTATTTTTACAAAAATTCTAATTACACTACAATCTTAATTTAACAACTTTTCACGTCTTCTACAGGCTTAACTAATATATAACATATTAGAAAACGTACGTAATAAATTACAACTTCAATTATGTATAAATAAATTAAATGCAAATTCTGCACTTTCAATTTATTACGAAATACTTGCCTACGACAAATGCCTTTCTTTTAATGTGTTTACTCATAGTTTACCTTGTCATTTCGTCTAGAAAAGTATACTTGATTTCTTTTGCAAACGCCTGTCTAGTGGTTCATCTTTAATGGTGGATGCGCCGGGTTAGACGTCTAATATAATGATTGTCAAGTCAAATTACCATTGGATGTTTTCATTTGTTCAAAGCTGCCGCATGCTTTTATAGTAAAATTCATCACTCATCATAACTGGCATGTAGCGGTTATTCAACAGTTTGATTATAATTCCTTTTTTCAACGAAGCGGCAAAAGTCAACACCTACTTTGATATGATAATCATATATAGACCCTTTTTTGCTAGCATAATCATACATGATTTGAGACTGGCAGCATGTAGTTGTTGCAAAAATGAACATAAGAAAGACATATGTTTATAAGTTTTATGGCTTATTTATTTTTACAACGTATGTAAAAAATGGGTTATGTATTTATATTATTTACTTATAAGTACACACACTTAATTCTGGAGCTGGACAAACCCATACAGTTATAAACAACTTTACGTCATTGCTAATGCAAGTATGTGTACGTGAAAATAGATAATCTATTTGACACCCTGTTTGAGAGTATATCTAATTTTTAATGTATCTACATATATCTTTGAACGAGGCAATTTTTTACAGATAAATTAATTTAATATTTACAAAAAAAGAATAAATATATATACAAAATTACAAATATGTACAATGTAAAGGAAGGAACATAATAAAAGCGGATGGACGTACATTTTAAAATTCTAACTAGGTACGATAATTTTATTGTAGATCTATTGTCATAGTTTTTACAAGAAAAAATTAAGTACGGTTTAAGTTTATACTGACAGTGCAAAAACAGAAGCAATACTATTAACAAAAAACATTTATACACAACAGTCGAAAACAATTTGTTTTGTTAAAAAAAGGATCACACTTTTGTGCTACATTTAGTTGGTTAATGCAAAAAATGAGATCTAGAATGTGGAACTGTGGTTGTATCTGTACAAACGTTTCCAATTTGTGTGCTCAACTATCATTTTATTGAATGCAAACTTTCTTAAGTACTAGCAATTTTAAATGTGTTTTGGCAGCGTACAATGAAGTAGTTTTCTCATAGTTGTACTTGTTAATTTCAGATAAAACAAATACATATGATTTTAGAAATAGTTGTTTTTTTAATAACAAGAAGAGCGTTTTTTCAGTCAACAACACAGCTGAAAGACTAATTGGTTAAAACGCAAATTTCTTTAATTTCGCGGCATTATATTAAATTTGTTTTGCTTTTGACGCGCGTTCGTCCATTAGTGCCAATTAAACTGTTGTTATATTCGTACCATCAGCATCGTTTTCTGAAAAATTTGTTGCGGTATCTACAACAGTTTAATCCTTAAATACAAAGCTGTTGTCGGATGTGCGAAAAAAGTTTGGTTAATTTCAAAGGAATTTGTGCAACAGATTGCAAACTAGGCAAACCACATTGGATTTATCGAGTTTTCTCATTTTGAATAGTACACGATAAAAAAGATAAATTTATAAAAGCATTCGGTGGTAGGAGATAACATAAATACCAAAAGCTTTAATGTTTGACATTTGCGAATGCTTATCGTAGGACAAAGTGTAATGGTTGTGATTGCTTTTGTATTTATTTTGGTTATATTGTACTTACATGGAAGTTAAATTAGACAGAGGCGTTGTACGATATACATTTTATTTTTTTATTAAATAATATCCAAAATGGTAATATATAACTATCTAAATAGAATATGTTGTACCAGAACGTCACACGAATGAACAATTTCAATAAATCTAAAAAAATAAGAAATAAGAAAACCCGTTTAGTTGTTCGAAATTTTTTATAAAAGTTATTACTTTTTAAGTTATTCAATTTATTCCGTAAGTACATGAATTTTTATCTACAATGTAAAGAAAGAGGCGATAGAGAGAAATCTCTGCGACGGCTTGCAATTTAAAACGCTAATTTTTTTTGTTTTTTTCTTCGTCTCCACCTAATTACACTTACTCTCGCTTCCATTCATAAAAGCTCGTAAGAAAGTTTCCCGTTGAAAGTTATGTAAAACACAAAAGTGGATCCTCTGATTAACTCTGTAATACTTTTCGGTAATAGAGCGCGGGAGTTGAAAACGCCTCTGGGGCTTACCCAGCTCCTGTTTAAACGTAACACATACGGTAGAAGAGTGACTAGACAACAGAGATGGTAACCTTATGACTGTTGTTAAGGGCAGGCTGCAGCCTAATTGTGTGCCTAAGGGAGGCCGCAGATCCTGATCTTCTGGAGGAATGGGTCAGTGTGGTCGTCACAGTTCCGCTGGAGTCGCCGCCGCCATAACCAAGACAGTGACCTGGACCGTGGACTCCAGGAAAACAGAACGAGAGGCAGTTGGATATCCATGTGAACGGTGGCAGTTTTCTGCACGGATCGAACTTTAAATGTTTTAATAATGAACAGCATCTATAGAGAAAACTGTGTAAGATGTCTGTCGGATGTTAGTTACAACAGTTAACATTCTACAGCTAGGGATGTAAGTTGTAGCGAGTGAGTATCTATTAACTGAATAAAATGTCTAGGCTAGATAAAAATAAAATATAGTTGAATGTGCTGGGAAAAACACAGTTCAAGAGCTAACACGGTAACAAAATTAGTTTTTGTTTATGTAACTACAATTTTATCCAAGTCGAAGTTTTCAAAAATAAGTTTTCATCGTTTTTACTTAAATTAATTATACTTAAAAATGGATACTAGTATAATTATTACAGTTAAGTGTTTAATATAATAATTCTTTGCATAATGTTTAAAAACATTGTCTTTTTGCTGTGATTAATTTGATAACAGAAAACTGTAGTTTCCGTTATATAATTTTCATACTCAGGAAAGTTATCAACGTCAATCAGTAAGTGTGCAAACAATTGATTTCTTGTGTCTACAATGTGCGAGGCGAGTGTAGATTTAACCTGGAATTTTGTTGTAACTGTTTAATAAAGTGACTTTTCTAAGGCAACCTACATTTTTTTTAAACGTATGGCCGTATCGGCTTTAAAATAACCCTTATTTAATTTTTTTTTTTGGTTGTGTACAGTTACTAACTTGTGCACAAAAGATTATTGAAATCATTTTAGGAATCTTAATATTATAAGTGATAAATTTTCGTAAGTATACAACGAAATGTCAACAGTATCAGCATCTTCGTGTATAGAGAAGATGATGTAAATTTTAAATTTTTTCGAAAGTCGTCTCATCATCTACATATATATCTATTTGATTGATCCAATTTTTAGTCGTTTGAACATTTCAAATATCGTATTAACAACATAATTTGTCACTTGGAACTGACTCCGTATATGCATTCATGACCTTTTTAGATCATAGCAAACCATGGAAATCTAGTAACCTGGTTGGTAATCAATATTACTAAGCTAAAGTTTCTTGAAAAGACTGACATTCTTTATGTTAATTTGGATTGTCAAGGAATATTATTATTCAACTAATTAATTAAACGTTGAGAACTTAGTAACTTTATTAAATATTATTTTATACAGGCTGATCCAAAATTCACGGATGGTTAAGAAAAACCTTGCACCAAACTTTTGAAAATATTAAACTTCAAAGTTGAATTAACTTATTACAAAAATTATGTGAATTGGTGTTTCGAAAAAACCTTGAGATATTTCCATTAGCCATATCAGATGACGAAACATTCAGATAGCCGGAAATAACGAACAAAAGCAGAACAGACTTTTAACATGTCACAAAACAAATCTACAGATAAGTTAAGCACATTAATGGATATTACAATTAAACCACAATGTTTCAGTCAATCACTTCTGTAGTTCATTTTTTGCGATGACAGTGTACTTAGAATTGTGTTAAAAATGGCCCAACCGACTACGGAGTGCAACTCAAACAATGAAGATGCTGAAGGAGAAACTAAAGAGAATTTAACTCATGTTACATGTTCAGGCCCCATCAGTAAGTTATTTCATCATCATTGTTTGCAAGATTTAAACGATCAACCGAATGAAAATTTGTCGTCAGCTACGCAAACCATCGAATTAGAAGATACTGGATTTAACGATGAAAGCTGTCATTACGAGAACTATTTTTCAGAATATATAACGGTGGAAGAAAATATAAAACATCTTCCAGCTATTCCAGAAGAAACTATACAAGAAGTGCGTAGTGATCAAGTTTACGAAACTGCACCTGAGTATATAACAGTTCTTGATTGTGATTGTCATAATCAGGTTCATGTTGCACCCCCACAAAAAGTACGCGATTCCGGCATTTCTCAGAAAATTTCTCCGAGGAAATATGTTTGTAATTTGAGAAGTAAATTTCGCAAAAAAATGTGTACAACACAATTTAGGGTACTTACTATACAAATAATAATTCTTTTAATCATTATTGCAATAGTACTTATTTTTATATTTGCAAAGTTGTACAATTAATTAATTTGAATAATGGTTCTACAGGTTTTTATCAGTTTATTTTTTGGATCAATATTAACTCTAATATTCGTGTTTTATGTCGAAAGTTTAAAAGTTAATAATAGACTAAGATTAATTGCAAAAATAGAATAGTAATTATTATAGTCAAGTTGTGTAGTTGTAAGTGTAGTGTTAGTGTTCCATGATTTCAATAAAATTTTGATATTGTACATATTTTTAAGAATTTATACTTTTAAAAATTAAATTGTGCTTTAAAATTATCAAAACATTTCTGACTTAAACAAGCGATAATTCAGTGTAATGTGCTTTGAATAAAAATAAAGCAACAAGTTAAGCAGTTTTTCTTTTTAACTTATCAACACAAACAATACAAATACCAAAACATCTGCCAGCGCCCACGACCAATGTTAAAATTAGAATTATTTCTATATGTACATTAGTCTGTAACATATTCGCACACATTTTTACAAAAGACTTATTTTAACACACCGTTGAATCACAATAACCTGAGTGTGAATCATAACGAAAACCGTTCCATTTCCATGAAAACTGACGATATACTGCTTCACAATTTATACTATATAATGTCCCATTTGTCTTATGCTTTCAAACAATTTAAAATGATCATTTATGATACGCATTATTTATTTAAAAGACAGCTGCGTGATTTAAAATGAAATAATTTGAAAAGGTTCGACCGAGGATAAAATTGTAGGAGTAGAATTTAAACATGTACGCAACTCACCGTAAATTTCTACACAAGTGCGTAGAGAAGAGGCAATAAATTACTGGATTGGCAGCTGAATTCAGCGGTGCCAGGCTTTGAATTAATGTAGCTATGGCAATATTTGTCTGAGTCCTCGGAATGTGACCATACGCTTGGAGCAAGTCGAATACTATATAGGGACTCCAGCATAGCACGAACACTGCAAAAAGTAAAACATTATTTCAATAAATAATTAATAAAATTTGTATAAAGTGTTATTTCGAACATCACTGGACTTCAGGGCGTATTTTTCTGTAACGGTTGTAATAGTTTTTGGGGATGAAATATATTTATTTTATTGTTTTCTGAATTTCAGGAAATATGACCGATATATACAGTGTGATTGACAATAAATCGCATTAGAGTTACTACACAGCTGACATATCGCATGATTCTGTCAACTAACAGCCTTGTTACCTGTGTCAATGTCAACACGTGCAACAGAGATGTAATCATTTTATGTCAACACCTAATGACAAAAAGTGATTAGTTAAAGGTTATGTTGGCAGTGAATTACCTTGAATCGAGGGCAGTTTTACCGACTAAGTCAACGCCAAGACTATATTTCCAACAGGCCGTTTGCTAAACATGCGGCAAAAAGTCAGAGTGTTATGCCTTGGGTTATTTTAAATTTTTTTGACTGAATGATTTTCAAAAAAACGGCTTGTTTCGAAATACCTCATTGACTCCGAATTTTTAAAAAATACCAAAATGGTTTTTATTGCATTGCATCCTTCATTTATCCGATTTCTCAAATCTTCTTCATTTTCCAATGATGTGGTGTACACTAATGTTTTCAAGTGTTCTTAGAAATAAAAATCCAAAGGATTTAAGTCTGGTGATCGAGTACTTTTGCTTTAATTTACCCGTATCTTCGAAATAAAGCGTTTTTCCAGAAAATCATTCAAGGACAAAAAGACTTAAAACAAACCAAGAAATAATTCCCTAAATTTTTGCTGCATGTTTAGTAAACATCCTGTATATTGTAGTACATTTTAAGTGGGATTTAATCATAGGTGGATGGGATCATCTGGAAATCGGGAATTTTGCAGAGGCGCCGGTAGCCGTGGTACACCACACTGGCGCCCGAATCCAAGTTTTACATGTATATTTTTAAATGAAGTAAAATATAGAGCTTTCAGAAGCTGGTCTAAATTTTTCTCGCGTTGGTTCAACAGGTCTCATTTGCCCCTTATCACGGGATACCGAGATTCTTTCAAATTGTTTCAAAAACAAGACAAGGGGTCCCCGAGATTCTTTCAAACTATTTCAAAAACAAAACACAAGGGGTTCCAGAGATTCTTTCAAATTACTTCAAAAACAAAACACAAGGGGCCCCCGAGATTCTAATAAATTGCTTCAAAAACAATATGCAGAAAGCTTTCCAAGATTCTTTCAAACTACTTCAAAAACCAGACAGAAGAGGTCCCCGAGATTCTGTCAAACTAGTTCAAAAACGAAACACAAGGGGTCCCCGAGATTCTTCCAATTACTTGAAAAACAAGATAAGGGATGTCCGAGATTCTTTCAAACTACTTCAAAAACAAAACGCAAGGGGCCCTCGAGATTCTTTCAAATTACTTCAAAAGCGATACAGAGAAAGATCCCTGAGATTCATTCAAATTACTTCAAAGACCATCTGAAAATGGGAACATTTCCAGAGGCTCCAGTAGCGGGTGTCTGACTCCTAATTTAAAATATTTTAAATATTTACTTTGAAATGAAGTAAAATTTTGGACATTCAGGCGCATGTCTTACTTTTTCCGCGCTGATTCACCGTAACCCACCCGCTCCTGGATTTAATTAAGAATATTTTGAAATAATGCCATCAGTTTTTTGGGAGAATGAACAGACAAGTTTCAAAATAATCAGTGAATGAGTTTCGGATGTTAAGAAGTATCTGTCATCGTTAACAACAGACGAAATTTTCGTAATCTACAAGTCGTGAAACACCAGCATGAAATAGAACGTTAAATTGTAAATTGTGTGTGTGATTTTTTTCAAATTGTCAATATTTTTGAAACAAAATGAAAAATGAACGCCTGACAAAAGCCTAAACAGGAAATATATAAAAAATCCATAAAATAGACAGAACTGCCTTCGTTCTTGAAACACAATCAAACAAATCCAGTTTCATAGATAAATTGTAAAATTTGACTTTGCTTTGAATAGGGGTGGATTATTAAGTTCCAGGCAAAGAAATACGCTATGCAGATATTTTAAGCGAGTTTTTCTTAATAAAATTTTGTGGTAACGTCATTAACTCTTTAGATTAGCCAAAAATACTACTTTGGATTGATGCAGTAATATCAATACTGTGTTCCCAAAGTTTTAACAAAAACCGATAACTATAAAGTCTACGATTTAATCAATTAGACTCACAATATTTCGCATATTTTAGATGGATTTATTCGACAAAATTTTGAAATGTCGTCATCAATTTTGGAGGAAGAGACAAACGGACAAATCTTGATTAAAAATAACTTTGAAAGGTTTGCAAGATTTCAAGGCATTCGGTTTTGTTGTTTTATACTTAAATTATTATTAACTGTTGTAATTGTAATGATTTTTTTTTTTCCAAACACTTCGATGTCTTGGGTAAAATGTCAAGACGGATTCATAACCCACAAATGTAGGAGTATGTTATTTTATAAAATTTAAATAACATTTAATAAACACGTAATCATATTGTTGATAGGAATAATTAGATAAATTTTGATTGGCGTTTTAATTGCAAAATTTGTTTTTTGTTTCAAAAATCTAGGTGTTGAAAGTAAAGACTTAGATTAATGCATCACAAATATCGAATCATATCATTTCATAAAATTTAAAGAGAGTCCACCTAGTAAAATTTTGAAATGACGTCATCAAATTGTGGATGGGATGATGCACGATATTCCTAAAATGCATCTGGAATTAAGCCAAAATTGTCAACAGACGATAGACAGACAACCGACAGACGAGAGACAAGTGGCAGACAGACGGCGGTCAAACGCTATACAGACGAAAAGAGGAGACCTAGTTTTCCGTAGTCTAGAAGCTATTAAACCTTAAGAAAGCATGAAATTAGTTTTTTGTATGTTGCAGAATGGCAATAATTTTGTGTAAGCCTATTTTTCGAATGATTGTTAAGGGAAATATTACAGTTTATATTGTATGTGTAAAACACAGAGAAAGCAATAAAAAACAGTCAAAAGCAGTCATGGATTTTTGAAGGTTTGTCATTAGTAGAATATTGTTTTATAATATTAAAGTCATTTGAAAGTTTAAAGTGAAAATGCAACGATCAACGACAAACCTTAAAAAATCAGTAGCTGTCCTTGATGCTAGTTTTTTACTTCCCGAGCGTAAACTAAGGACCCCTAGAATACGAAAAAAGTAGTCTGTATGTACCAATTTTTATTAGATACATAATCTCCGAAACTGCTGGACCGATTGTTGTGAAATTTCGTGTGTATATTAGAAATATCATGTAGATTGTTAAATACTAACCAAAATTTGCTAATTATCCCCACCAACAATTTGATGACGTCATTTCAATGAATTCGATGTTTATTTGATTTAACTGTTAGACCACAATATCGTCCTATAAGTGTGGCGTGTGAATCCGTTTTCAGTTTTTCGCTAACTGTCCAAATTTTTGCAAAAACAATGCACATTATCCCGGTTGTGGTCTATTGGTTACGAGTCAGGAATGCGGACAGGGCGTCGCGCGTTCGATTCCAAACTTGGCCTTTCGTTTTTTTTTTCTTTTTTTCTCTCGCATTGAGTATTATCTATGTTTATGATGTCATAGCAGATTTTTATTGATGAAACTACTCCACTTTCTCGAAAAGGTGAAAATATGCCCTTCTTTATTTAAAAATGTAAAACCTTCTCGGGGGCGCCAAATGTCTTTTTTTAATGTGAAACCTTCTCGGGGGTCCCAACTCTCTTTTTTTAAGAATGCGAAACCTTTTCGGGGGCCCCAAATGTCTTTTTTTTTAAGTATGTAAAACCTTCTCGGGGGCTGCAAATGTATTTTTTTAAGAACGTGAAACCTTCTCGGGGGTCTCAATTGTCTTTTTTAAAAATGTAAAGCCTTCTCGGGGGCGCCAAATCTTTTTTTTTTAAATATGAAACCTTCTCGAGGGCCAACTGCCTCTTTTTAAGAAGGTGAAACCTTCTTTTTTTTCTATTACACTGTGACTAATACCTTCCGCAAAATCAAATTTTATAATTTTGTAGAGAAGCAGTATTTGTTGGACTGTACTTTAGAAGCGTGGGAAGTTCTGTCAAATTAACTTTCGACCATTTTTTTACTCCCTCAGTATATTTATGTATCCCAGATAAAACTCCGTAGCAACATGTCGTGAAAGCGGGTAGAGATATTGAAATTCTGTAAAAGCCGCTGATTTTAGCTTGAAGTGCTCAATAGAGCATAACGTTTTAAAGAGGCACAAACATTCCTAATTAAATATTTTGAATCTTCTAAATCACGCAAGGATCGTAAATCCGCCATTATCTTTCATTACTGAGTTAAACTTCCCCCTTGAAGCTACTAAGTATAATGACGTTTGGAGATTTTCAATACTTGTATATTACAAAATCGTGTCATTTTCATAAACGTTTCCCGTTTCGATCATCTGTCTTTCTAGATGTCCGATAATTGTTTACTGGGTTAGATTATTAAACAAAAATTTCAGAAGCTACAAATCAATTATTATTTTAAAATGTGTTTTAGCATTATCGCAAAAAATTAAAAATATACGTTATACTATTAAATAAATCTCATTTAAAAAATGTATTTAGTACCATGCTTTTTGTACACATTTTTCAGTTTTATATTTGGTTTATTTAATTTATAAAAAAAAACACGAAAAATACAGTTGCGAACCCAGTATTTGGAACACTAACGTTATTTCGCTCACATAATGTGTGAAAGACTGCTTAGGTAGCATAACCTTACTTGTAATTTCAGTCATACTTGTGGACTTGTCATTATGAGTTTTGACATACACACGTCAGTTATAATGACAATAAAGCTTATTCAATTTTTTTAGGTGACAGAAAAACCCTGGCCGAGATTCTGTGCTCACAACTGTACGCTCTGGAAATGTGTTGTTGTCAGGTAGAAAGTTTCAAATAAATTAACGTGTGGACCAACTTATTTTATTGAAGACTTGAGAAACAGTTCATCCAATTTCCTTGAAACTGATAACTTGATTCCAAGCAGTTACATATTTAGCAAACCGTTTTTCGAATGTATATTTTTAAATGTCAGTTAAGTAAATATGGTATTCAACTTTTCCTTTGTTCCGAAAGCTTTTTAATAGAGTCCACTACCTATGATTCATCATATTTTTTAGAAAACATCAGGCGCAGTGCACGGAAGCCAAGACTGCCTTCATACTTTTTTATTTTTTATAAGAGATGTAAATGTAACGGACTAATGTGAATTTTTATTATTCGACTTACAATCATACATAAAAAAGAATAGATATTTACGATATGTGTATCGTAATGTGGAATTTTACGATACGCGATGGAAAAATTGTCCAACGAGCCGAAGGCGAGTTGGATAATCCATCAAGGATCGTAAAGAAACATTACGATACAAATATTGTACAACGTTTTATCTACTTTCAATAATTTTCATAAAAATTAACACAGATATTTTTGTAATTTTTTTAATTGTGTTTATGGAGAAAAAATAAGGCGGCTAAATTAGTAACCGTAGTTACTGATTTGTTTACGTTTTTCACAAGCGTTCAGTGAAAGCAATTTATGTGCAAAAATTAGTGATTCAGAGGATAATTTGCCTTCCGATATTGAAGTGGCTACTCAATCTGCCATCGATACGTTAGTTCCTGGTAAATCTAAAGAACGTTACGAGATAGCGTACAAATATTTTGATGAATGAATGGAAGTTAAGAAAATTGGTGACGTTTCTGAACAAGGTGATGCATTCCTATTTTGCTGAACAAGCAGAGAAGTTAAAACCATCCTCCTTATGGTGCCGATATTCCATGTTGCGAACCTTGGTGTTGATTACGAAGAATGTTGATATTTCTGAATATCATCAGGTTGTGGCTTTCTTCTCGGAAATCAGAAGGTTCCCGACCCAGAAAATCGTTTATTTGTTCCAAAGAAGAGATAAATCAATTTCTTAAGAAAATGAATGATAAGGATTTCTTATTTTTGAAGGTAAATTGCAACTCATATTGATAAAAAACAATCTCAAATTTATATAGTTTCAGGTTGTTTTGATAGTCGGAGTGTTTGGTGCTTGTCGACACGAGGAGATCACAAATTTTACGACACGAGACGTTAGAGCCGAAAAAGAATTTATCAAGATCACCTTACTGAATTCAAAAACTAAAATTATGTAGAATTTGCTATACCGAGAGGAAATTTTCAGGGAATAATTAACATGTTGCTTGGTCATAGAGGCTGGAAGTCGGATAGCATGGCAGAAGGATATGTTGAAACATCTGTCGAAAATAAGAAAATAATTGCTACGAAAATAACGGGTTCTTCAGTTACTGTGGGTTCAACAAATTAGGTCACGGTGGAGAAGCCCAGCTTCAACATGGGAACAGCGTCTGGTGTTAACTTTATAAATGCTTCAAACTGTGTAATTTATGTTAATAAATGGTTTTGAAACTTTCTTTTCTAAAAGTCACTCTTTACCGCACTAGTGCGGTAATTGTTCCTTTACCGCACTTAGTGCGGTAAAAACTACCATTACAATATCAAAGACAAACCTGTAATCTGGCACATTACATAATGAAAGTGGATAAACAATTTTAAAGACAATCAGACTTTTACTCGTTAGTAAAATGATGCCTTAATTGTTGTTAACAAGTTGTCACTATTTCATTTCGAGATATTTTAATGATATGTTTACAAAATTTGCCAAATTATCCACATTCGTCCAAAAATAGTGTTGGGTTTTTAGAAACATATGTACAGTCGCGGATTATTATTATATGTAGCTTATCTAGCCACATCTAAGGTTCTTCTAACGAAAAAAAGTCTTTAACTTACGAAGATATTTGAAATTAATCGGTCTTCAATCGTTAAAACAAAAACATGATTGATTGTTTATTTTAAAATTTTAAAGACGTAAATCCTGTTATATTAGTTAACTTAAATACACGAGTTTCAGGTTCACTTCAAAATGTAATAAATTTTTAGCAGACTGTCATCATTCAAGTAAATATTTAGAAATTGTTATGGATTACTTCAACAAGTTGAAAAACTTTAAAGATACTTCTGCTCACTCCAAGTTAATATACTGCGCACCATTTAGACGTTCGTTAGCAACTTCAGCAACGTCAATCGCTATGGAAAACGAAAATCTATAAATGGAAGATTTTAATCGTCTTTAGATATATCTGAAGGACTTTACAATACCATATATGTATTAATCAAACAAATAATTAACTTCTTGTATTTATTTAATTTATTTAGCGTTTAGGAGTGCTGTTTCGCAACTGCAAACAAAAGCTTTTAGTGCTCCCTTGTGTCGTTTTTTCGATCGAGATAAATAAAGATACGTTTTTCAGTCTGAAAAATAATCAGAAACAGCAAATTCCCCGAAAGCACTAAGAAACCGAAAATTAATTCTGAATGGACGAAGCAAAACGAAATTAACTAAGTTTCTAGAGTGCATCCGTCGAAAAGCCAAACGTTGCGTGCGAATAGTCATTCTGAAAGAGAGCAAGTTTGCCCTGAAGCCAGACAATCCCACCCTTCGGCGTAATTCTGCAGACATGGTAATTCAGGGCCTCATAAAATACACAGGTAACGTAGCAAAACGGTAATACAGTAAAAAGTAAGTGTCTGTTAACTATCTCAGATGATACAGCTGAAATAGTTATTAAGAGCTACTACTGCAATTTGGCAGCGTCTAAAATTCAACAAGGTCCTCGACACAGCCGAAACTTACCAAAAACGATGACGAAAGTCATTTTTACAGTCTTTATTTTCGCACGAGGAATGACTCCCCTCGAGCTGGCACGACGAGTATCGTGTTCTTCGTGGAAATGTCGAGGTGGTCTATCACGATGATCCTCGCCTGAAAATCGCCAACGATTATTTTTCTTGCTTTTTTTAATGAAGCCGTCAAAGTTGACGGCTGAAGTGCCGCCTGTTTGTTACATTTCGTCTCGCGCAATAAAAAGCCAATTATAATGCACTAAAATATGTCGTAAAAATTTAATTATCGTCGTGCGCGGCATTAAGAAGCGATTCCTAATAAATTTCCAATGATGCAGGTCATGTCTGCACATAAATTTATTCTGAGAGGAAAATTGGGGGCGTTTCCAAATCAATTTCAAGCGGAGGCCACTTTCTTTCAGAAAAGTTTAATTTCATTATTCACCGTAAATAAATTCAGCTCTCGGTGTCAGAGAAAGATTTCATAATATAATTTTATTACTGGCGGTTTGAAATTATTGTTACATTACCGAGATAAATGTACAGGCTGGTCAATTTTCTATTTACCACTATGGAAAATACAGGATAACTGAAACCTACAGAAATGGAAGTATGTTAAAAATAATAAATCTGTAGTAAACTGACTTTGACGTTATTACTGGATAGTATAATACAGGAAATTTAATCGCAGTTTAGTGGCCACTTTATATTTACTACCTGCGTGGGAAACAAATTATACGATTAAGCATACTATAAAATTGATTTAACACGTCTAGCTTCAGTGGAAATGGAAACAATTTTTGGTTTATAAAAATAACCACTTTTTGCGATTTATGCTAATATTTCTCTTCTTATTAGTTCGAATTTATTAGAAAATTTTGCTGTGTAACGTAGATTATGTACAGTCATGGACAACTAATTAGGCTCATAATATTGTTAACAATATATGAACTGAATTTTTAAAAATTTCAAACGTGTCGTCGTTTACCTAATAAATGAAAAGATGTGTTATCTTGTTGAACAATTGTAAATAATAAAATGAATCAAATTATGTACAATTTGGACATTTATTACAGGTTCATTGTCCATCCATAATCTTTGAATTATTCCAAGGACTGTCATATTAACGTTGTATTCTGTCAAAATCGTAAGTCGTTCCTAGAGAAATAAAAGTAAAATTTTTATATTTTTTTTTCGGTTTGATATTTCCCTTCTTTATAAGTTAATATAATACAGTCTAGTTTTCCCTTTACTGCATTTTTTTTGCATATATATGTGACCTATATACGTATATTTTTGTGCTCTTATGCAACATCATCTTTTCTAACTTTATACATTACTTTGGTTTTGTGTTTTTGCTCTTCACTTATTTTACTTTTTCTGTTCAACTGTAAATTGAAAATTATTGATAATTATGTTTTTGAACTAGAACAAAACTTACTCTCTCTTCCGAAAACAAAAACGAACTATATCTAGAAGCTGAATTTTTGAGTAATGAAGATAGCTTGTGTTAAGCCTAAAGAACGCTGTTTCAGGCTTTAAGTGTAATTTATAAAATATGTGCTGTGATTTTAACTAAAAAAAATAATTGTAAGGAAACTAATTCACGCTTCGTCTAAACATGCAACTCTATAGAGAGACCAATAAAAAACACTATCAAAGCCGGCTATGAATTTTTGAAAATTTGTTTTGATTATTGGATTTTCAAAAGTTGCTAAACAGTTAAAGCATTCGTAATTTTTAGTAGATAATACCGAAAGAGCAATAAATAATACAATCGAAGGCAGCTATAGATCTTTGAAGATTTGTCTTTGAGATAATTTTCACCTTGTCAGATTAGGATCAATTTGAACGTCTGAGTTGAAAATGCAATAATCAAAGATAAATTTTCAAAAATCTATGGCTGTTTATGATCGTCTTTCGGTATAAAAAAATATGTAAAGGATATTTTATTTACATCTCAGAAAAAAGTATGTAACAAATGCCTATTTCATTTACTATCTATGCTTTATTTGTCGATGTTTGCTAAGTTTTGGTTGGTGTTTCTTAAATTAGTCATCTGCCACTGCACTTTTAATAAGAATTTGCCACTTCGTTATTTCACCAAATAATTTATTACAACAAAAGAAACACAAAGTCTTGTTTTTTATTTTCTTATGTTCTTATATTGTGTGCTTTAGTTGTATTTAATCTAACATCCCTACAAAAAACTGTCAAAGAGAGGCGGCAAAATTTTCGAAATTTCAAATCCAGCTTGATGTACGATCTTTGAAATTGATCATCATCTTATATATTACTGTCTCAATAAAATATGAAACAAACACAAATGTTGTAATAAAAAGTGCCAAAAATATCGCGGAATAGTTTTTTTAACTCATTTATATTTTCCGTTGCTGGTTACGTACTTTTGTTACTTATACTTTTTGGGCAGTTTCACCAGTGTGCTTAAACTATGTATTTTTTCTTTGTATGTATTGTGTCAGCGGTAAACTGTAATTAAACTTTTTATTTAATGCGATGAATAGAATAGAATATTTTACTGATTATTACTATTAACAGATATTAAAGAATAATCATGTGTACAGGGTGAGTCACTAAGCGCGCGCTCCTTGTTATCTGATTATTTATAAGAAACAAAAAAAAATTGAAACAAAGTTGTATACATTCCCGATATATTTTTACACATTTTGCTTTACCTCTTTTTAGGCTCCACATTTTATTTTTGAATTTCCGATGCAATGTCGCCACGTTATTCCAATTTTCTTAAAATTTTCTAGCAATAAAAGGTTTCAGATAAAAAAAACGTTTATTTTTAAAATCTGTGTTATAATATTTTGTGGAGAAATAAATAAAGGTATGCGCTTTGTTGTGGTATAATTAAATTAGGTTTTAGTATACAGATTGTTTATAAAAATAAATAATTAGTTCGCTATGTCAGTTTTTTCAACTAGAACACCCTGAATTTATTACGGCATCTTATTCTGTTATTTGTCCTTTTTCTTTTTTGTTAAGTATTTTTAAAATTTAAATTAAGAGGAGTCGCTACGTTTGGCTCTTATGGTCTCAATATATTTTCAGAATGTAATATCTCCATTATTACTGTTATGAAATTTTATCTAAATGTAACTCGTCCACAACTTTCACTATATAACTGCGAGGGCAAAATTTTAAAACTCAGAAAAGAACAGTTTATTATGATATATTTTTAAAATTTTGTTGAAATTTTTGCATCACGTATTAAAAAAAAACAAACTACATAGATTTCAGTTATTTATGGAAATTTTGAAAAGCGGTTTTCACCAGTGTTTTCAGCTTGAAAACTTCAGAAATCCTAGCAGATCTATTTTTGATTTTATTTGTTGGAACTAAGATATATATAGTAAAAATAAACGTTTAGCAGCTTCTACGATACGTTTCTAATAAAAAAAGTCGACGATATATCTAATACGATTTCTGGAGTTTTGTAAGGTGAAAACAGTGTTGAAAACCGTGTTCCGAAATTTCCTTAAACAATTGTGATATTGATTTTTAAAAATATGTTGTGGAAAAATTTCACTAAAATAAAAAAAAAGTATGATGACAAACAGTTTTGAACCAAACTGTCCTTGCGTTATATGTATAAAGAACGTTATGGACAGCTTTTATTTGTTCATTTCAAAATCGACTTAATTACTAGACGTATATTTGAAAAAAATAATTCAATTCGTGAATGTCATCTTCTTTATTTTGTAGTGCATAAATCATTCTCCACGTATGTTATGTAACTATAACGTATAACGTGCAATCATTTTTGTTGCTATAAATGCTTCCAATTCCCTTAATTACACTTATAATGTAATATATTCAAAACTGGAACAAGCGTTAAAGTAAATTTTATATAATATTACCTAAATTATAGAATATTTCCGTAATTTTAATGCAAATGTCGCAGTAAAGACAATAGTGGTGAAAGTACGCTAATTACTTCGAATATAATTATTACGTGTGAATAAAGGTTAAATTTTGACTAAATTCATCATGAAACAATTCTGTCGCCAAAATTGTATGCAAATTGAATTTTGAATTTGTCTTTTTTCTACAAAAAAGAAACTTTATAGACATAACTATAAAGTGTTTAGTTGAACTAAATTTCAGTTCATGTCTTCCCTTGCTTCCAATACGAATTAGCCTTTGTAACATCACATAGCAACGTCAGTTACCATTAGAAATCCTGTAGTTCCAGCATTTAAAAATTTTGAGTTTGCAACTATTTTTTTCTTTTAAACTAATTTTCGTTGAAACATAATTCAAAGTCAGTTAACTAATTATTATGAATTGAGTACTTACTGTGACGAATGGGGATGTGTCCTACTGGTATCAGCAGTTTACTCTTGGACCATATAGTCCATACGATGACTGCATAACAAGCGCTGATGATAAGAGCAGGAAAAACGAAAAGGACTAGGGCTACAAGGGTCATATAAACCTTCCACTGCCACGCTTGCAGATCTATCCAGCACTGTGGTATATCTAAAAAAGATTTTATTAAGTCGTAAATTCACTACTTTCTAGAAATTACAATGGAATATAATAAAAAGACAACTAAAAAATAAATTCTAGCCTGAAGACCAAGTTCTTGGCTCCTATAATTCATCATAAACTATCATAAAAACGACATAAACTTAGACAATAAATATCGGTATTTCGCTGAGTAAGATAACGTATCTTGACCGATCTCGTAAGGGAGAAGAAAATATCACTGAGGTTTTACTCCCGATATCTTACTCCCCGAATTTCAATGTCTCGTTCCTCGGAAGGATTTAATTAAAACGGTGACGAATTGACGAATGTGTTTTTAGGAAATGAAAGTCGTCATTTCAGCTTTATGCAATGCAAATGACACTGGGTTCCGCGTAATATAAATTTTGATATTTCCTATGTATTGGCAACGCTTCACATTCCACTAGGTTGAATCAAAGCGCAATTGCACCACTCATCGTACGATGAAAGCGTCGGGCAATAAAATACAAAGCAAGTCGGTACATTTATGTTCAAGAAATTTAACGTTTGTTAGCGGCATCCAATTAAAGCTACAAATGCCTTGTATGGAGTACACAGAGACACAATAGCTGAACGCTAAAAAATAACTTCCTCGTAGATATCTGAAGAAGCTGACTGGTTCATTATTGAGAGCATACTTATTCGAACAAAACATTTTCAGATGTTTCTGTCTCGACAGGCAAGTTAATTCAATTACGTAATAGTTCTGGTATAAAGCTCTTAATTACAACTCCACGCTGAAAGTTTGTTGAATACTTTTAGTGTCAAATCATTGTCACCAATAGTTTAAAATATGGTTCTGTAACTACTTTGAACAATTAAAGTGTTACAAAGAGCGAGCTTTAGCAGAAATATTGTTTATTGAATAATAAAATATTTGAAGAAGGAACAGCTGCTAGAAATATACAAAGAAGGACATTAAAAAAAGTTGAATGAAACAAAAATTTATTAAATTCGAAAAATGTCGAGAGAGACTACCATAAAACGATGGACGTGACAATTTTTTCAAAATTAGGTGGTTAACCAGTTTATTCATACTTTGGTGAAGTTGAACCAAAAATGTGTTGTGGTTATGGACAATGCACCGTACCATTCCGTTTAGCTGGGCAAACCACCCACTTTTTCTAGTAAAAAAAGTCTAATGCAATAACATGCAGGAACGGATGCTTAAGTACCTATAGTTGCACTTTATACAAAAAATCTGAAGAAATAATTGTGGGATTCAAATAAACCTTTCAGAAACAATAGAGAAAAACGATATATGGTGGATGAGATATTAAGAAAATGAAGGTTTTGGATTACCCCCATATCATTTTATAAGAACTACTATATATAACAAGTATGTGTATAAAATCTCAACCTTCATCAGATAGAATTGCGAATTTATGCCTTGAAGCATTTTCTAAATAAACATATTTTGGCAAATTGGGAAAAATATGAGAAATATTTCGTATGAATCTATACCTCATTTTATTATTGCGCTAAATGAATGTAATTCGGATTCTGAGTTGAAGATAGAATAAAAAAATAATGGAAATAGATTGAACTGAAAGGGGGTGATCTTTTTATCCTTCTTTCCTTTCAATAATAAGTAAATTGGTAGTATGTGAATTTACTACTACAAGTTAATTAAACGTTACTTGGATGAACACCTGAAGAAAAAAAATAGTTGTTGATATCTTTTTACAATTGCAATTAGCAACAACGTTTTTGACAGATTTTCTAAACTTACATTTAAAGCAAAGCAAGAAAAATTGAGGGAATTTTGATTATTCTGTACCGACTACTAAAATAAAAAACTAAATTTTCGTGGCCAACTTTTCGTCGAAAATATAGCAAACGGATAACATTTTTGTTTTAAGGTCAGTTGGTTTACACTGTGTGCAGTTTCAGTAAACCAGCGTCCACTATTACCGTCACAAGTTCAAAGTGTGTGATAAATAGTGGGCATATTTATTTACATTTTGTGGTTAATAATGGGATTTTGCTTATATTTTACTCTATTTTCGAAAATTCTACGTATATACAAAAGTTAACATAAAGGAGTTAATTAACTATGATTCAAACCCGTTATAAAAAGCTCTAGAGAGGAAATAATCTGCAAGAAGTCTCGCAAATATATAATATTCCCAAATCAACATTGGAAACACAAAAGTGTTGAAAACATTAATCTTTGAAGACAGGAGGCGGTAGGAAGACACGAAAGTAAATAGATGAAGACGTTTTGGGCAAATAGTTGTTCGAACGTGCGAAATATGGTTATGGGTTGACCAAATCTGAACTTTTACAGTTTGCGAGAGAGTTATGCAGAAGCATAGGGAATGTTTGGACTAAGTTGGGTCCAGGAAGGTATATCGGATTTAAGCTGAATTATTATCGGTCCTCAAAGGGGAAATCGTGAGTTCACCATATTAAAGAGTCGATATTTTCACAATCAAAAACAATATTAAAATTTTAAGAAAGAAAATATTACTCATGTAGATGAAAGTTTATTACGTGTTGGGTTTACGTTTGTAATAATCGCGCCTTTATATTCCTACGTTTCTTGAAGTTGTTAGGACAAGACTAGTCAGTTATACGTACATAATTTTCCCAAAGATAACTCATGTTATGGTAAAGTCTGTCAATCTTTGTTCTATTTTGTGTTAACTATTTAATCTTGGCTAGGTAAAACGGTTCTACGATCATTATTTGTTAGGCTCCAAAAAGGGTATCCAACTACAAACCGTTGAAAACGCTACGTGTTATGTGAAATAAAAATATTTCGCGGAAGCAAATTGAACAAAATTTGTGAATAAATAATACAACTGTTTTGAGAATTTTGAGTAAACAAACAACAACTAGAAATTAATTCTTATAACTTTAAAAACACATCGGTAAATATTTGAGGAGGATAAAAAAAAAGATGATGGAGCACACAAGTAGGGATAAAAATTTTATTGTTCGAAATTTATTTACCAACGAATGTGGATTTTCTTTAAACGGTAAAGTCAACTGATAAAATTGTCCGAGAATCAATATTTTGATCTTAAAAGTCTTAGAAGAAAGTACCCAGTGCATAAATATGAATAACTTCGACATATGGGTTGGAATTTTATGCCACCTGATTATTTATTAGACCATTTTCTATACCACTTGACTTAATCGGTACTGTTGTGAAAATGTCATGATTTAATAAAATATAAAATTAGGTTTTCGTTCAGCAGTCAAGGAAAATCCATCTACAAATTTCATCTGTTGTTCATTTTGATATTTTGTTTTCCGAATAATGTATTTCTTATTATGCTAACAGTATAGCCTTGTTGTGTAATGATAGGTAATAAGTCTAAAATACGTTGACGTTGGATTTTCAACCAATCAAATTGCGATGGTGTGCAGTGCTGCCAACTTGAAAGAAAAAGCCCCTGAAATAGGAGGGACATTTTTTTGGTTGACAGCACTAATTTCTAGAAAATCAAATTTTGATAGATTATGAGGTCCACTAATGTTAAGCCATTTAATCACCTGTTCACCGAAACCCAACCCTCATATTTTAAATAGCTGTCATCATTTTCTACACTGTAACTTTATGTGAGTACCTACTTATGCATTGTTAAACCATTGATCTAATAAAGGAGTGGATGGAGCCTTGTATACGTTTCCATACGCCAGCGAGTGTAATCAACATAAGAAAGAAATAGCTAGAGCGGTTATGCATCAGTGGGGAAAGGATGGCTGACCACGTATCACGTGCTGGGTGGCAAGAAACGCTTCATTTGAACGGGAATTAATACGTTTTCTTACGAATTTGTTAAAATCAATTATAACAAACGTCTTTCAATGAAAACTATATTTTTTCAGTTTACATTAAAATTATGTGTAATGTGAAACAACAAAAATCATGTTAAGTGGTGGAGATAGTTTTTTAATAAAATGAAATGTATAGAGAATCTACAATATATTACGAATTCAGTTAATACAATAATCTTCTACAAGTTAACAAATCTTGTAGTGTATGCTCATTGGTAATTCTGAAATTTTTAGGATAAAAGTAATTAAACTTTCGATAAAAGTGACAGGGTGCCTAATTAAATTAAACATATTAAATTGTGTGGAATTTTCTACTAAAATCTATTTTCTAAATCCACGTACAAATAACTAAAACAATAATCAATAGATATAAAATTCCCTCTTTTTGTGGCAATAATCCGTTTTTTTCGTAACTCGGAACGTTTAGGGAATCTAAAAAATTTTTTAAATTATTTACGAAATCCTTCGTCTGTGTATGTGATTATTCCCTATGAAATGAAAGAGGATTGCTTTCTTTGCACATTCTATTCAATTATACTCACAACACGATTTCACGATGTTTAACAAATATTCCAATAAAATACAACTTAAGAAGACTGTAGACATTTAAATAAGGTAACTTGAGCCTAAAAAACGTAAATTTGCAAAAATACACCTTCAAACACCATGCGACAGCACCATGGGCGCCGGCAGGATTATTTGCAGGGGGGTGCACCCATACATTATAGGATATAGTATATTTACTTCATTTTCGAATTGAATCTGGGGATGAAATTTAAAAAAATCATTTAGAATCAGGAGAAAGAAACTCTTTGTATATATCGCATCAAATTCAAAATGAATTGATTGAAACTTGTTCTGATGATCTGAAGAGCAAAATAATTGAAGAGGTGAATCAGGCATCCGTTTTTTAGGTGTTGGCTGATGAGACTGCTGATATTAGTGGCACAGAACAATTATCGATTGGAGTTTGGTATTTGCGTTGTGATCAAGATAATAAAAATTCAATAATTTGCGAAGAATTTTTAGGATATGTGCTGCAAGAACTGAATCCGGAAGCCATTTCAAAAACTATTATCCACTTCCTAGAAGATTGCAATTTGGATTTAAATTAAAGTGTATATTTTATACTTCGCCAGGGGGGTGCAAGTGCACCCCCTTGCACCCCCCTGCCGGCGCCCATGGACAGCACGAAAGAAACCTTTCGAAACACAGTGCTCTGCAGTTTCGCGTCAATGTTTTACCACCCAGAGAGCCCTATCTCTGTCCCACTGTGTTGACAACGCGCGTCTCTCTCTAAGTTACTTCCATATAATATTATTTCTATGGTTAAACATATAGTCTTTGCCATTTCTATTGAAACACCACTTGTTGAACGTAAATTTGGCAACGTTCATATTCAGACAATTTTCTAACTAAAAGACGTTGTCAATCAACCGAAAGCTGTTACCAATTCCTAAATTTTAAGCAAAATCAACAGGTGGTGTTTCAATAGAAATGGCAAAGACAATAGTTCTCGACGTTTAAATCAACAAGATTTATTGCTATTAGGTATTATAACTACAAGGGCGTATATTTTGCCCTCTTTTCTTAATATTTGTAGTCTTCTTTTCCACAGCAAGAAAGGTAAAACATGTTTAAAATGGTAAATTTTTGTACGAAAGTATCGATTTTGCAATTAGGCTCCGCCCCTCGGTCTGTTAACGAATGAAAAATTTATCCCAATTGAGCTTGGGACGGATATGAGTGGAGCTTAATTTTTGGCTCGTTTTTTTCTTAATATACATAGTCTTCTTTGGACAACACGATACTCAAAAACATGTTTTTTATTTCTTGTAGAGAAATTTTGCAATTAAGCTCCGCCCCTTTGGTTCACGACGAATAAAATAATTATCAGAATCGAGAAAGGGCGGGTGGGCGGGGCTTATATTTTGCCTTTTTTTTTCCTTAAAATACATAGCTCTCTTTTCACAACAAGAAACTTAAAACATGGTTAAAATTGTACATTTTTGCAAGGAAAAATGGATTTTGCAATTATGGGGCGGGAATTAAAAACATGTTCTGTTGTTTTCTATTACAGGCATTCCGAGGAACATTTTCCAATAGATAAAACAGGATAACCCGTTTTTGGAATTACTAAAAAATTATTGAAAGAGGTTCAGTTGATTATTTTGTTATAGCTAGATAGATGTTCCGATGGAACAATAGAAAGAAGATTGAAAATTAAACTATTTCCCCAAACAATGTATAGGAGCAACAGTGACCAATTGGACGAACAGTGAATGATATCCTCCGAGGTGGCATTAATGATTTACTAGAAAGTACAACGTGTTTCAAAATGATTTTCATCTAGTCGCCTATGGCTGCAGATTTTCATCAAGGGAAAGATAGGTGTTGAAGCAATTTCAAAGCTAACTAGATGAAAATCATTTTGAAACACCCTTTATATCACTACGTATATAGTCGTTTTTATTGCAAAATTTTGTCTAATCGATTTTAATTACTTATTTTATTGGAGAGTATGGAATAAAAACTCAATGACATTTTTCTAATAAGTTGTAATTAAAATATCAGTTATAATAACTACTGGGCGGCTGAAACCAATTTTTATGTTGACAATTCAAAATGTCAATTTGGCAATCAGGTATGCCACCATAAAATTTTAAATATGTTGCTAGCCTGACAAAAAATCACAAACATTAATAGTCCCTCGGTATTTGTGCAACAATAATATCATTTTTTAATTTTTTAGAGAACAATAAATGAGTTTTGTTTTATGTCTTCTGTTTTACAAATAATTCGTTCGCTTTATTATTAAACAATATTTTTTGTGTAATTGGTGAAAAGGCGCTAGTGAATCATTTTTACAAAATAAGAAGTAATGTAGTAATTAATTCTTAATTGTTCTTAGAACGATGACGTACCAAGGGATTAAGATAAGGGTTTGATTTTGGATTTGAGTAAAAAATGATGTGTAATTTTAGTTATCAGCATAAGAAGATTTAAAACGTCGCAAATCGCACAGTGTGTGTGGAAATTTCATATAAGAACTTTTATTCAATTATAGAAGATTCGGCTTTAATTTCATTTAACCATGACATTGCAGTTGACGTAACGTGAAACGATAAGACAATAAAAATACAAGATTTAAAGGCTTTCACCAGAGACTTTGATTATAATTAAGAATCCCTCTAAGCAATTTGTCAGACGTGAAGCCTGAATAAGAAATAGGACGCTAAGCATGAAAACGACATTTTTTTATATAATGAACGTCTGCCTGCGTCATTTTTAACAAAATCGGTATCACATTTCACACAAACATTTACCCTTACCTTCAACGTGCTTTTCTTCGAAGAGGAAAACCGTGGGTAAGGAGAACAAAATGCTGAGAAACCACGCCAAGATTACTAAAACCTTCGCACGCTTCCCTGGAAAGAAAAACGACAAATAAATATCAACATTCTTTATGGGACCATAAATTCATACAACAAATACTGTTCCAAGCCAAGCATTTCCTGTAGACTTCGCAGTCAAATACCCCAACTCATCTCACAACGCAATTTTAATAATCAAAAAATTTCATTTCGCACTTGTATTTGCAGTAATTGAATTTTTCAGTGTGTCGTTGACGAAGCTTTTGTCGTAAAAGCTAAATATCTTGCTGGAAAAAGTGGGAAATTTTAAGAACACTAAAATGAAGATTGAATGACATTGACTTCTTGCTTGTTGCCCGGAACCCGACCTCAGAATATAGTCGTTAACTTGGTGAGGGCAAAAAGTGGATCATCGCGCCCTTTAAGCGCCACAGACGAGGGTTATTGTTGGAATTAACAATTAAATTCGCGCTGATTTTAGCGGCATCTTAAGCCGCAACACTCCGATTTATGGATCGTAAAGCGTACCGCAAACAATGCACAAGTATGTACGAACGCAGATTAGGGTCTGAAACATTTGCTAAATCAAATGTGGCCTTAATCTGTGATTTTCTTCTCGACACATGAATTCTCCGATTGAAACAAATAAAAAGAAATGAAAAAAATGTTTGTTATTTTATTACGGTTATTGCTGCGGCGCTTGCCTAGACACAAATAAAGAAAGAGGGGAAAGACATTAAATCATTTGTGATAAAAAAACGCGAAAACAGTGCTAGTTTGGAACAGTAGTAAACACAAGCGTGCATGTAGATGTAGAATGGATTCGGCAAGAAAAAAGTTAAAATATTTACTCACATAGTTACAAGAAATGCAAAAGAGTTTTTTTAGTTTTAGCTTTTTATGTCTGCACTGAATTTTAATTTGCTTGTAGAAAACGTCCACAGAAAAATTATCGTGCACATCTCGGTGCTGCAAATTCATGTTGTATGTTAAGACTCAATTTTCTTGACTAAACTAAAATTAAATAATTTCGCAACAATGCATTTTAATTTCAAAAATAATAACACCTACGAAAAATGTCAATTAAAAACACATAAAAAAAGCCTATTGCGATATTTTTGTGAAGTAATAGTGTTTGAATATTTGTTTCCATGATAATATATGGTACTTGGATGCATCTATTCATTTAGATAGTTTATATTATTTACAGTTAAAACTAATACAACACATACAAATCGTCATAATATGCGTCATATTTGCATTGTACCAAGTTGAGCTCCCACCTTCCAACTAAAAACAATGGCGTTTACAGAATTTCAATATCTCTATTCGTTTTTAGGATAAATAATACCTTAATCTCATTACAAACTAAACTGACGTTACGAACATACAGAGTGTAATTTTGTACTTATCATTATGGTAAATGGAGTATTGTTGGTTTAGTACATAATAATATGTGATTATCCACTTTATAATTTTAAAATGCAGCGAATTGCATGTATGCACTTCACGAATACCTATCACCTATCATTAACTGGTAACTATGTCTTTTTAATTTAGGTACTTTCAAAATTAAAATAGAGAAACTTCTAAATAAAAATTGAATAATGGATATTCTGAAGAAAAAAGTTCGTAATTATTAATTTGTCTTTAGAAGGACATTTTTATAAAATCTAAAATGGAGCATTTCAGAGGATTTTTATTTATAGTAAAACACAAAATGCTTTACAGAAATATTTAGAAGAAAATGTGGGCGTTGTGCTAACGGCTGTCATGAATCGACAAGAATTTTAACAAGACTACACAAATTAATTTTCATTACATTAAAAAATTAATCGTCCCCTTCCCACATAAACTGCCCACGGCTAAAAGAAAATTTTATTGATATTAAAAATTTACATAAAATTATAGCTCACTGTCGTTGCGACTTGGAAATGCCAGACAATATTTTATGCACATTATGAGCAAGAAGGCACTCAGTCCATGTTTTTGTTCCGTAATCGCTTATAAATTACAGTTTTTGTAAAAATTTGCGATAACAGCGAAAAAATGACAGAAAAATGAAACTCATCCAATAATAAAAATAATCAAAAAAATAAGTACGTGGGTTCAGCGCAAGAGTCTTTTAAAACAATCTTATCAAAAACATGTTTATATTTTTCAGTGAGTTTTAACAGCAAGAAAAACTCTATAAGAGAAAATATTTATTATTCTCTGGAAATCACTTTTAATCATACTTTTTTATTAATTTCATAGTGTTTTATTTCTTTCTTAATTTATATTAACTCAGTGTGTACTTGTTTCAACTATTTTACTGCTAAGCTTCAAACGAATAATAAAAATCACAACTAAATAGATAATTGTTTCCAAGGACAACAAATTTTCATTCAGTTTGGGCACATGCTAATGAATATGTAGAGTTAGCAGAATACTCCCCGGTATCTCTCTGAATACTGGCATATTATGTTTGTCCGGAACCCGGAAGGAAACGGTTACAATTCGGAGCTCTAAAAGCCCATTAAAGACAGCGGCTGAGGTGCAAACTGACATAGTTGTAACTAAATAATTCTGATGGGAAAAGTAATCCAAGAAATACGTTCTTGTCTTTATTTCTGTCCAACGCATCACAATTTATGTTTACTGTCTCCCTTAAAATCTGGCGCCGGTGGCGGTTAATTTAATTTTTCTGGAGAATGACAAATTATCGAACAACCTCAAGAGGATTGGACCTATTGTAGTTATAATGAGTTGTTGGTTGACTATGTAATTTTACGCAAGGGTCTGGTAATAAATCGTAGTGTTCAGGCATCCGAGGCGTTATAACTTTCTTTTTTTTTCTCGTACATAGTTTCAGAAATTGGTTTTACAAAATATTAGTACAGTTTTACAGTGTACATTTTAATATGTATATTTTTCACTTGTCTGTCTAGTGGACATCTCTCTCTTAAAATAAACGTAAAAATTCTGTTTTAATATATTAGGTTATATTTTCTATTGCACTACATTTTTTTAATAAATGTGAAGAAAAATTAGTAAAATGCACCTAAATGAAATACGTTTTTGAAAAGACATACATAAATACATCTGTCAGAATGAAGTATCAGCTCTACGTCCAACCAAAATCGTTATTTGAGTTAAAAAAAAGTTTCCAACTTCAGAACGAACCGATTTGTGAAACTTAATATTATTACAAAGAAGAGTCCAAACTTGGAGCGATGCAAAGGTCAGAGTGTACAGGGTCAGATCGTGATCAAAGAGACACATAAAAAATCTAATATATATTAAAAAACGAACTTTCACGCATCAGTTTTGTACGAGATTTTTGCTTATTCGATTTAAAGAAATGACAGTCACGACTGTGGAATTTTTGGTGTAATATGATCGTAATTACACGATTTTTTGTGAAAATAGAATATACGTGATATTGCACACAAACATGTGATTTTATTTATTTATTATTATTAGTATATTGTTATTCTGATAATCAATGAACAAGCACGTTGATATATATTATGACAAACTAACGCGGAAAATAAAACGCCATAATAATATAAAACTCCCAATGAAAATAATTTAAACCCTGTTGCGGGCAAAGCACGTGTCTACAGTTGTCCTAAAATTATATGTGACTAATTCAGTTTTCAATTTTCCTAGGGATAGCGAAAAAGAGCACTGTAAGATTAATTTTCAGGAATGCATAATTTCATATTGTTTTCACAGGATGTTGTGTAATAGAGTCCATCAGGCGAATGGTTACTTTCATGTTTGTCTACGGTTCATGACCCCTAGCGTATGAAAAGAGGTTTCCCGTTTCCGTCTGTCTATCGCCTGTCCGTCGTCTGTGTAGATTTTCGTTAAACAAATAATCTTCAAAACTAATAGGTATTTTAGGAATATAGTGCAGATTATAGATGGTAAAACGCTTCCAAAATTGTCTGATCATCCCCACCAATATTTGATGACGTTTCCTTCAAGTTTTGGGTGGTAAATGCTATTTAAATTTTATAAAATAACATACTCCTGTACTTGCGGTTTATAAATTCGAGTTGATTTTTTATCCAAAACAACATTTTATACTAATAAGTCCAGTAAGCACTCGTTGGCTCACATGATGCAGGTCGTGGGTTCGAATCCTTTATAAACTACTTTTTTTCTTACACTGAGACTTGTATTATCGACTTTTTTTCTAAAAGACTAGATTTGTTTGATTATACTTCAGGGATGAGGAAAGTTCTGTCTAAAAGCATGAGACCAATTTTTAAATGTAATTAAGTAGGTACAAGCTTAAATTTTTAACTAAATTAGTTCAAAGTAATATACACAGTGAGTCACGAGCTTGCGATATCTCATTAATTATATTATTAGAGACCAAAAAAAAAGTCAGAGACTGAAGACATAGATTAAAATAAAATTAAATTATTTTATAGTATACAGAGAGTTTTTTTAGGCATAACACACGACTTCGTTTTTTTAAATAGAACACCTATAGATTTTTATACATTCTCATTAGGCTTTATAACCATAGTTTATTTTTGTTATTCCAGCTTTCTTGAATTTTTTTATTAGTGCAAGGGTTCACAAAAAATGGCAAAAATGTTATCTTTAAGACATGTATTGCGATATTTTATGGAGGTACGGACTTTGTGGTCGTCTCAGTTAGCCCAAATTTTAATATACAGGGTGTTTATAAAAAATCGAAGACGGTACAATTTTCAAATATCGATATTTCAGTTTTTTTTTAATAAAAGACCCTGTATTTTATTACTGCATCTTAATCCAGTTTTTCTATCGACTTGTGGTATGTCTTTCAAAAAAGTAAAAAAAAAACAAAAATTGTCAACTCTAAATATAGAAAACTCTCAACAAAAAAGACCTTTCTATTTATGTGTTTTATCAATTGACGTTTGATAAATTTTAGAAGATATAAGATTAAAGTAAAATATAATATAAATATATACCACTGTGTTTGTTACTAGGAATTCTTGCAACATATTCATTTTAAATATCTGATAACAAAGAAGTTAGAATTTTAGGCAACTTTCACAATTTAATCC